GCATGGCATGCACTGATGCAGGGCCATTGCGAAATGAAATGGCATCCATGCCTGCCACACAAACCAATGCCATAAGAATGGGTCCAGGCACAGGAATCACAACGTAAGATGAGTCAGCGCGGAGCGCCATGGCAAGGACGAAGGCAGATCGCCACGGAGATACAGTAGGGGAGCCTGAACAGCAAGACACAAGGGCGCGAACGCAAGGAGCCAACGCCGCCCTGAATCACGGCCGGAACACCACAGCCGCCAGACGGAAAAGCCACGAACAGCACAAGACCCAAGCACCTGATGTGAGATCACAAAGGAAGGGCACAAGACGAATAAGGGGGCAGAAACACCTGAGAGCACAAAAGCCAAGGACCTGAAAGCAAGAGAAACAGGACCTGAAAGCAAAGAGAACACCGGGGTTCAAAACCAAACAAAAGCACTCCTCAAGCTATCTGTCGAAACGCTTGAGCCAAGGGCTCGCTCGCTATCTACCTAACTATCTAGCTAGCTGTCTAGCAATCCATCTACTCTCCGTCGATCCATCCATCCATCCATCCATCCGTCTATCTATCTATTCGTTTATCTATCTAGTTGCGTCTGTGTTACTTTGTTTCGCTGGATCCGTCCATCCACCCCTCCATACATCCATCCATCGATCCCGTTCATCCATCCATCCATCCATCCATCCAGCCAGCCAGCCATCCAGCCATCCTTCCATTCATCCATCCATCTGTTCCGATTTCTCCATCTATCGATCTCTAAATTTACCTCTTTCGCTCTATCTACCTATCTATTGATCGAGTCGAGTCGAGTCCTTGCATGCCCGGAGGCAGCCCTTTTGGGCGCAGGCAAAAAAGAAATATATACAAGAAACCTGGGCACTAATGTCTCATTCATCCAGTCATATTGCAGAACATAACTAAATCGTCTGTAAATCACACCCAGTTTCGCCTTGTGTGGTTATTGCAGAACATAACTAAATCGTCTGTAAATCACACCCAGTTTCGCCTTGTGTGGTTACATTTTGCCCAATTGTTTGTACGAGTACCGGGAAAAAACAATAATTTTGGCAAGTGAATGATGTCGCAGAGTTCCCGGACTACGGCGGCCAAATGGGCACCAAATCTCCTAATCATGCTGCCTTCTTATTGTTCAATTTTTTCGTTCCAAATATGTAAATTTCGTGCCAAGGACGGACCCAATCAACAGAAGCAGGAGGACGAATCATGTTCCGAAGTAGTTTCCGCAATGCACAAGCCATGGTTTGCAAATCACGTTTATGGATTGCCCGGTGCCTAGCTCCGAAAAGTGCAACTGGTGTCACCACAGCATCGAAAAATCGCAATCGATCTGTCACACTTACCGTTTGATCACACAAAATATGGTTATTCGCGAAAAAAACCGTTCGTTGCCTGCAAATGGAACTCAACATCCAGGGATGTTCTATGGAAACGACCCACGCCTAGGATACAGCCCAACCACTTATGGCAATATTCACCACACTCCACTTGAATGACCTGCCCATTGGAAAGAACAAGCTGTGAAGGGGGCTGCGCTCCGTTTGTGAGAGTAACAGGTTTTATGCGCATTTAAAAGCAAACCTGTTGCTGCCAAATTTTGCGTGAGTAAGTCAAGCAAAGCGGTTGCTTCATGAGCGCTGGACGCAAAAAATAAGACATCATCTGCAAATGTTAAATCCAAAAGTTTAGGCATACCATCATGCAAATCGATACCAAAATCAGAAGCTGTAGCCCGTCGTCGCCAAGTCGCCATCGCCCATTGAACAACACACGTGAAAAGCTTCGGACTCAGCACGCACCCTTCACGAATCCCAGCATTGATAGCAAAACCACGACTGCAATCCGAATTGCCTACAACCTGTCCCTCCTGGCTCGAATGTAGGCATTGCACTGCCCAAACGGTCACGGAGGGATAGCCACAACGCATCCCAGTTGATACGGTCGAAAGCTTTTGATAAGTCCAAGCTCACAATCCAAATTGGTTTGTTTGTCCCTAACAATTTGTCGATGACAATGTTTGCGGTGATTAAGTGTTCCTCCAGCCTGTAGTGCGCTCGAAATCTATGTTGTTCTTCCGGCTGTTGGTTGTCGAGAATCGGGTCCATGCGAGCTAGTAACATGTAAGCAATTTGTTGTAAGAAAATACGAGTGGGAGCAATAGGACGAAAGTCTGTCACCGTTTTCGCACGCATCGTCTTTGCAATCATGGTAAACAACGTTTTACGCCATTCTGCTGGCACGTCACCCGAAGTCAGCACATGATTGTAAAACAAGAAGGCGATTTCTAATAACTCGACAGGGGCAACCTGTACTAATTCAGCAACCAAACCTGCCTCATCACCGGATTTGTTGGTTTTCAACTGTCCCAGCGCGTGTTTCAACTCTTGCATTGTAAAGGGCGGTTCGCTCATCAATATCTGAGGCTCGGGTGGCGCGACAGCACCACAGAACAAATTCTCCAGCATGTCTGCAAAATCATTCGGCGATGGTTGTTGCGTCAAGCTATGTCCATGCAATGTCGCAATCATGGTTCTCAAGGATTTCCAGTGAGACGTGTCGGACAATTTCAAAAACAACTGTTGGGATTTCGAATTCCTAATTTCTCGTTGTTGCAATTTGTGGATACGAAGGCTAAGTTGTTAGGTTGTTAGTTAGTTGTTTGCGCTGTTCGAGGGCCGCAGTGTCCCGGCGGATTTGTCTCATGCTTGACAACTCGAAACTGGGACGAAAAGTTGCCCGCCTCCTTCCTACTGAACCTGCGTGCAACCCTGCATCATAAGATCCGCTCTAATTGTCGGAACGATGTCACGGGACCTGCACGAAACCGGCAACGAATCCAATCGTGAAACTGCAATGGTTCCATGTGGTCACCAACAAAAGGTGTCCATCCCTTCAAAGACTGCATTTTTTTGTGGTGTGAGGGTTTTGAAAACGGCAAACGCAGGATGCAATGAACACAACGATGATCCAAACCAAGGCCAACCGCAAAATCGCACCATGCCTTGCCAAATTGATACTTTTTGTCAGCAAGTATGAAATAAATTTGTACTTGAGCATCATCAAAGCACCTGCAACATGTCCAACTGTCATGCGCCAACGAAGAGTCCATATGCCGGCTTGCAATCCACAAGCCTTCTTCTAACACAATTTGCATCAAAAAATCCACGTGCATTCCTTTCTCCCACGCCACATTTGCCGAATATGATTTCATCCTCATGGTCATGCAATGCACCGATACATGCATAAAATCACCTCCTTATAGGTGACCTCCCTTCACGCACAACATTTGCCAAGACAAAATGCAAGAGATCGTATAATTCAAGAACGCCATCATCAGAAGCCCAGGACGTAGGGAACTAACAAGCAAAAACTGCAACACTTCTCGCTGCACGCAACGAAGGAGATGCCGCACCAACGGCGTGAAATGCTGCGCGTTTCGATGTAGTCGTCACTGACATCAGTTGTGCAGCTGGGGCTGGTAAAACTAAAACAGCGAAGCGAGAAGCGGATTGCCCTCGTGATTTGAAGGCAACATCTTGGTAGATCACCGGCATCGAGCACGCACAGCATCTGAAGTACAGACATTGTGTGCAGCATGTGTGCATGAACTTTTTGCGAGACAATGTCCTGGATTTTGAATACTACTGATACGTATGGGCGACCTGTTGTGCGAAACATATGTCACTGCGAGCTGCCGTCTGTTTTCTTGTTGTTGGACCGGTAGAATCATTTCTACTATATATTATATAATATCATGCTTGAAATTTGCATGGCAGTAGTTTTGAGGGACGGATTTTTGCAAGGCTTCTGTACTCCCCTTGCATTGCTCTTCGAAATTACGACTCGATGAGTTTGGCAAACGAAGCTGTGTCCTTCACGCTCTTGGGGTAGTTGCACCCAATTGCAGCAGTAGCAAGGTGTGCTTTGTTTGCCGCTTTGACTGCAGTCTCTTGACAGCTTATTCAGAGCACCAGCAAAGCTTGCCCAGGTGCAAAATCTTCCGATCGATTCTGAAACATCGGATCGTTCCGTTTTGTTCCGTTTGAAACATTGCATCTTGTCACGCCGTTCATAAAAGCAGCGGATGGTAGTAGCGCATTCAGCTTGTTGAGAAGGAGCAGCTACTTAGCCAAGAATCTAAGATAATCCAAGTAAATAGTTTGCAAGTAATAAAGTGATAAATATAAATGAACTCGATTAAGCAAATAGCTCCGGGATCCCTGAGCCAAATAGTTTACGTGGCTAGCCTAAGTGTAACTGGCCACGTAGCACAGCTTAGCTTACTCCCTTTCCGCTTGATCTCTCGTGAGATGCTCAGGCGAAGTGAACCTTGGTCACGTGATTCTGTTAAATACATTGCTCAGAAACTTCAAGGTATTAAACGGAGTTTTAACGGATTGTTTGGTATGCCTACCTTGTTGCCAAGGTTTGAAATATGGGAGTGCCTTCTGTGGATAGGCAAAGCATCTACAGCTACAGCATCTACAGCGCAGTCTTGTCGCAAGCCAAAGATTACCACCCTTCAGATCATGTATACTGGACACCAGGCGTTGCGTTCGATCGTCAAGGTTCACATCAAACCTGTGTTGTCACACGCAATCTACGTTCAAACATGACGTTTATGCCACAGGCTGCCACAGCGAGTACCAGCGCGAAGCACCACTCTTTTGTCTGGAAGTCTCGCGACTCAAAGCCAAAGCTAAGCAGAGACTTTACTCCCTGAATGCAGATTTTGCAAAGAACACGTTTGCAAGAGTGATCAGGCCATATCAGGCCTCATGATTCAGCCGATTTCGCATCAGTTGCAGGTGCTCAAGCACACAGCATACTGCGCTATTCCTGCAGCTAAATAGATCTTCGAAGACAACGGAGCCCAAACAGCAACACTCCGAAAGGCAATAGTAAATCAAAGAAACACATTAGACATCATTGGACTTCTACCTGTGAGGGCCTGTGATTTGCATAGGCACTCTTCAGCACTAGAAACGGTCACATGAGATCCAGCAAGTCTGCCTCAGTCAAGAACCAAATCATTAATCTCTGTCCCAAGAAAACCAGAAGTATTCTGAAACATCCTCGTTTTCCATCGTTCTCCGTCATGTTCATTTGTTTTCCATCATGTTTTGACATCATCCTTTCTCAACCAAAGACCAGCTATACAGCCATCACCTACGAACAACTACAGTACTGTGAGGCGGACCGACTGCCCCTTCCCAGAGCTTTGAGCGGGGAAAGCCTGCAGGTTGAGTGAAACCATTTCCACTGAAAAGGAGACAAATCCCAGAACCAGGAATCGCTAGGCCACATAGCTCGAATTGCAACTGGAGCACGACTTGAGTGAAGTACTGCACTGGTATACTGAGGATATCTCTGATTGTGTCCTGAAGTCATGACAGTCAGTGACCAGAACAAGACTCCTGATCAAAAACCAAAGTTGGAGTGTTGAGTAATTATAGGCTAAACATCTGATGCCAAGGCCGGCCTGCCCCGTACTGCTGGGAGCAAACGCCTCATCACATTACCCACACATACGCCTCATCACATTACACAATATGTGGATTCCAACCAAGATTTCCCTTTTCTTCATTATGTTTTTCTATGGAAATACATAAACACGCCAAATCCAATGGATGGAAATGTTGTGGCTCTTCAAAGTGACTGTTTCCATAAAACAAGTTGAACAATTTGAACAATTGATGATTGGGGTCACTACACAGTGCAATGAGCTGCTGTCAAGACACATCAAAACTCGGTGCAGATCCAAAGTCTGCAAAATCCCTGGCAGTGCGAATTGTGTGTTCACAAATCGTTACTAGACGTTATTATACATCTTCAAGATTTAGTGTGGGGTTGTTCGTGTTTCCTGCTGGCTTTGGGGTGGTGGAGAGAATCTAAGCCAGCTGCCAGCATCTGGACGTGGTCTAGTTCGAATTGGTGCTACTACCCCAATGGGCTGCGGACTTGATGTCGGTCCATAGTTGCACTGAACGCACCCACATGTCCCAACTCATCCCAAGATGCGCCAACATGCGCCAACAAACGCCAATGTCACAAGATGTCACAAGATGTCACAAGATGTCACAAGATGTCACAAGATGTCACAAGATGTCACAAGGTTTACACCAAAACTGCGCCAGGTTGTCGGTGCAGATGAAACAGTCGGTCCTCACAAGTTGTTTTTACATGTTTTCTGTTTTTACATATTGCCATCGCTCCAGTCGCTCCAGTCACACCGCAAATAGAAAAGAAATGAAAATAATGCGGAAGATCAATTGCAAACTGCTCTGTCCTGTCCCTGTTTCAACCTAGGTACGCACTGTTCACTGGTTGTAAAGTGTACTTCAAAAAGCTGGGACGTTGGTCCTGCATTGGGCGTGTGATTCACGACCTGCTGAGCAAGGAGACATCTGGCATGTGGGCACAGCCATGGTACAACAGGAACATCCAAGAATGAATAGAACAGATTCTCATGGGATGTTCGTATAGTGTCATATATCATATATCCTAATGTTGTGGATGTTTTGTTGACCCATGGACATATGAGGGAAAATGCATCCTGGCTCATTTTTGGAACACGTTACTTATACAAGTGGTGTGAAGTGGTTCCTGAAAAATCAGAAAGGCTACATAATGCTATGGAAAGGCTACTGACTGCAATACCTCTCAACAATGCTCCACTTCAACCAACTGGAACCTTCAAGGAAAACCGATGGTTGTCGTTGTCTTTGTCAGCATCATCATCACCATCCTCATCGTCGTCATCACAATCGTCATCATCGTCATTGTGGTCATAAATCGCAGTCACAGGCATCAAAACTGCAATCGCCATTGCGCCATCCTCAATGCATTGAAGCAACTGCCTCGCACTCTAAGTTTTACTTGCACACAACCCTGCCTGTTGCGAGGGCATACTACTGAAATCTGCGAACGCTAAGAGATTGTCACCTGAACAGCAAACAATAGAGAGATTCGAAGATCATGACGCTTTGGGCTTGATAGCTGAATTTCAATCAATATAATCAATGACAAATCTTCATTGACAAATTGACTTTATGAATCATTATGAGACACGAAGGATTGCTGACGCGAAGCTGCAAAGCCTTAGTCACAAAATGTCCCGAATAAGCCATAGCAAGCACCTGCAGCCGCCATAGCCGGGGCGCTCTTCGCCCGAGACCTCTGGTGAACGTCCGGATGGTGGCACAGTAACACTTGCAACATATCTATTGTATTGTGCAACATATCGTGCAACATATCCTTCAACTTTGGGTACCCTTGGATCCCCTGGTTATATCTCGGATAACGATTCCAGCACTGCAGTGGAGCAGTTCTACCACTGTCCCACCAGCCGCTCTAGCTGCAGCCCGAAGCATGCCAGCTCAACTTAAGATTCGCACGGAGTGGTGGACATGTCTAGTAGATCCACAGCGGGAGCAGAGGTCGCATGGTGTAAGCCTTGGAAACACCACACGTGTCACACTCCTTGACAACGTCTAGCATTTCCAATGATTTGGAGCACCAGGCAAGAAATGTGAAGAAAAGGGTACTGGTACAAACTAAAACCATCTGAAACCTTCCTTTCAGAGTGCTACAAGTTAATGCTTGGTGCATGCATAACCATCTGAAACCATCTGAAACCACAGCGAAGTTCTTGCATTTTGGAAAGCCAGTGATTTCACCGCGCCTCCACCACCAACAGGGCCTCCAGCATCCAGCGATAGCAAATCCTCCTGCAGGCCTGAAGCATTCGTGAGCTATGTCAGTCCTGTCACATCCTTCCAAAATGAGAATGTGCACATAAAAATATCATTATGTACATATACGATGTTATGTTGTGTCAATGTACTGTAGTGTTATGTTGTACAACATCATACAACATCATTGACCACAACATTTCACGCAGTGTAAATGCGCTGCATGCCCTGAGCTCGCGGCTAGGAGGTGCCTGGTAGGCGAAGTTTGCTGAAATATGTTGAAATCCACTGCCAATGCGTTCTCAATATTTCTCAATATGTTTTGAAATCCTTTCTGCATGTAATTGTGTCTGTTTGACTGGAGGACCGGAGAACCTGTCGAAATGGTTACAAAACTTGCCTTGGCTGGCTTGGACGCTTGAGATTGACCAGGATAGCCACCTTGACTCAAGCATCAAGCACGGCAAGAGGTCGTTGCATTCAAATCAGCGCATTGGACACCACTCAATACGCGGATCTTTGCTGGTAACACAGGAAAAACATGAAAAACCAAGCGATTGTGGTGCAAAAGTAACGGGAGCAGCAATACTGCCTGCGCCCTCCGCCAGCGCAAACCTCACATCAAACCTCGCTAGAGGCCAAACCAGTCAATTCAAGAGCACAACATGTAAATTGTTTACTTATGTCAATTTATGTCTCCTTATTTTTACTTGCAGATTAGAATCAAGAGCTCCATAGGGAGTGTGTGTGTGTGTCTTTTTTTGTTTGTGTTCGTGGAACCGATGCCTAAAAAGGTTTACACAATTCCAACCAAGCGGTTGGGTGGAAATTGGGAAGCTCTATGCAAAACATAGAGGAAGGCAGAAGAGAGTTGGGAATAACCGATGCCGTATCAATACCCTTCCCAACCCTGCACCCAAGAGCGCTCAACATCGTGTTCAAAAACTGCTAGGAAAAAATTAAAAAAAGCTGGACCAACTCTTTCAGTAAGTACATAGTCCGCCTCACGACAGGGATCAAAACTTGATCATCCAACCGTTGGAGGCACTTGAGAGCCCCAACCCCGCAGAGCTCTCCTTGGGCTTCTTTGCCTTGCGAATGGTAGGATTCCATATTCAAGGCCGATGGATGATGGACCATGCCCAAACACACCGTGGGAAGCCACTCAACGGGAGTAACTGCTATGGAATCAGCTGTAGGGCTGAGCTGATGGCTGAAGTGGCAGAGGAAGCAGTTGAGGAAACATTGGCGGCCACAGGCAGATTCTTCAGGTCCTTCAGAACTCACGGCAATTCAAAGACGTAGAACTGAGCGCCTTCCCTCTAAAACAGGGACCCTCCGACACACCCTGATGCAGATGCATGAAATTCAACTTGGGGACCGCACCCACTCTTTCGGCGGCTCCTTCGAACTCCTCAGAGGATGCACCGTCTGTCTCCCAAAGCTGCTCCAAATCTGACAGCTAATCACTGCATGCGCTCCTGGCTCCATAGATCCTCTCGTGTTGCAATATCTTTTCCCTGCCCATGCGGAGATGCTGAAACGATGCAAGCGGGCCAAAATGCTGAAACAATATTGAAATCTGGCCGCCCTAATGCTCTGAAACAAAAGATCCACGCGTGTGCATTCAGCTGCATTGCCCTGTAAACTACATTAATCGATGTTAATCCCGACAGACCCTAACAGACCCTAACAGTACTTTTTATCAAAGCCAGCTCAGGCCTTACTGAAGCTGGCATTGCCCTCAGCAGTCACATCTTTGACTTGACATGTTTCAAAAACCTCCGAACATGCTGTTACAATCTGTTACATCTGACTTTTCCGAGACAAACCACCACTACTCAGCTTCGTACTGCACATAGTCTTCGTATTCAGACTTCCCAATGTCTCGGCATGCCTGAGGTATGCTAAACGCTAAACTGCTACACATACAAACACAAACTCCGGCCACCCCGACGGCGGACTATGCGGACTTCCATCAAGGACAGCCTTGCCTGCAGTACCCTTGGGGCAGGCGGCCGGTCCTGACATCTGCCATACTCGTTGCATCTTGTTACCGTGCGAGAGATTGTCAAAGCTGGAGTGTTGTGGAGGATTGCATCAAAAAGGCATGAGAAAATGAATCCAAAGTCTGCCGTAGGCGCTTAGTGCCTCAAGCGTTATTCTACATGCTCATGAAGCTTGCTACAAATCTCTGTTGGCTTCGTTGAACTCCATGTTCCCATTTAGTGCTGCAGGTTGATGATTGGCGATACGAACAATGCCCATAGTAACAATATGTAACAATCAATATGTGACAATGAAATACAATGAATGCTAATTTCCAGACCCCATGGGCCCATGAACGCACCGTGACACCTTGGGATCAGGAGCAAGCAACCAATGTATCAAGGCGCACAGTTTGGCGCTCCTGAATCAAGAGATAAAAAGATCGGTGTGCGATGCAGTGATGCTTCACACAGAAGCTTCATATATTTCATATTAAGATGTTGTTCGGCGATTTCAACGCCTCTCTGTCCACTACTTAGCCTTCAAACTTTGGATCTCATAGTCTGTCGGGAAGCGAACAGAAGACTTTTGGAACATTTCAGCACAGCGGGTTGAAGAAAGTCCTTCATTCTTTTTCCAACTTCTTGAACCAGTTCATGTTTGTCAATTTGTTCTCTTTCGAAAACTGTCAAATAGAGTCAAATAGCATCCGGTGGTCCCATCCACTGTGGGCTCATCATATTGTGCATGCCCAATCAGAAACACTGTACACACTGCACACTGTGTCTGTGTGTGTGTGGGGGTCTTTTCAACCTGTGCTCCCTGGGCTCGTTGCGCCTTGCCATTGGATGGTCAGAAGGAATGAAGTACTTTGCATTGAAAATTGCCATAGCTGTCGCATTGTCCTGCCCAAGACAGACCAAGACAGACCAAGAGAGACCCACTGACCTGTCGAGTGGGCAGTCTATCATCCATACGCCCGGAGTCTGTTTCCAGATCAAAGAATGTAGCGCCGTTTAGGAGGATTTTTTTATTAGTATCAATCGGTCTAAAGGCATCTGCATCCCTTGCAACATCCTCCCAGTTTGGTGCACTTGACTTGTGCCGTTCAGAGGGATGCAAGCAGTCTATCAAGCGAACGAATGCACAATCATGCGAATCCCACAAGGTATCCAGATCTATCCAGTCTGCAGGTGTCGAAGTTCTACAGGCCATGCCTTTACAAGAGCATACAATAGGAGTCAATGGATTTCTGCCAAGCCTGGAATGGATGTCGATAGAAAGCAAGTGTGAAGAGGATACAACCCAGCCTGAGCTCGGCTTCACAATAACACACCATCGATCACCAGCATCAACAGATATCAATACATTGGAGCAGGTCCATTCAGCAGTCAACTCAGCTCTGTTTTAGATCCGAACATCCAAATGTCCACCTGCTCCGAAATGGTGTATCCCTGCAAGGAGTCCAGAAGCAGACTGTTCCAACAGGAATCAATACAATATGATATGATGTTTTGGAAAAATCATACAGGCTACTGGATTTTCTCAGCAAAAAGACTCCGCCGGAACATCTCCAGTGGAGCCATAAACAATGCCAACCTATGACTCAGGACTTATTGAGAAGTGTAGGAGTCTGGAGTCTTCCACCAGATTGTGGAAACACTCTGGAGGCTGGGCATGGAAGTATGACGAAGTTCTCATCAAGTTCGACCACAGGATGCAGGGGCCTTTCTGCTGTTGAGCTGAACATCCGCCATCTCTGGAGGCCTTTCAAGGACTTGACCGACGTGTCACAAGACATGTGACAAGGTGCAGCTTGAATTATAGTAGGCGCAGATGACACGGGACTTGGCGGCCGATTTAGGCTAGTCTTTTTTGCACATGACATGAGATTTATGTATCAAGTTAGCTATGGTCATTTAAATACACATGACTTGGGAGTCATGCGCTTGCCTAACGGGCAGGGATTTTCCCATTTTTTTGACCTGACATGGGAAGATTTGAGAAGAATCTTGGGACTTCCAGGAAAAACATCTGCAAACCCTTTTTCTCCACGTCGAACGCTGCTTTGAATTGTTATCAAGAATGGGGTGGGGAGGGTTTGGGAAGGCACTGGAGGCACTTTACAAATGACACGGGATTTAGGCATTTTTTTGTTTTTTTCACTTTACAAATGACATGGGAGTTTGCGTTTTTTGAGTATGTCCGACTACTCCCATGTCATCTGCAGGTACTATAGTTTGATAGAGATGGGACGATGAAACTAGTAACTAGTCATCGATGCGAATTGTTGTTCTTCGGCCACTACATCAAAGTGTATTGTCTGCACTCCATGGCCATGACAGAATTAATACAAGAAGTTCACAGATCTTGACATAAGCTGGGGAGGCTGCAATCCTCGGCCCCAAGGTCAAATTCCCCTCTGCTGCGGCTCCTGTAGAGCATCGTCACCGTCTTATCGATTTCATCCTCCAGCATTGCCGCGTGTTGTTTTTGGGAGAAGGTAGTTTTATGCAAATTCAAAGCACTTTGCCGAAATGAAATTTTGATGAATTTTGCACAGCAACTGGATGCCATGTTGTTTTTTGTTTGTTGCAGTTCGATCTTTTCGTGTCCTGTAAACGTTGAAGCTGCGGTCGCGGCAATTCTGCTGCAAAGCAGTCTGTGCCTGAGCAACGTCTCCAGGAAAAGTTGACAAGTTCACCGGGCCTACCGGGCCTACCGGGTTAATGCAGTTTCAATGCATTTATTGCATGTTGTTTTTTTGGTTGCATTGGGCATTCCATTCATTTCTCAACGCTTTAGCCAAAAAAAAGTAATCTAAAAAGACATCAAGCAACTGCAGTATTCATGAATAAATCTGGACTCCAAGAGGCCTTTACAATGGGATAGCATGTTGGATCATCAAAGAAACCGCGTCTGGATCAACTGCGTCGGCCAAGCGACTACAGGAGCCAAAATCGCAAAGCTTCCAGTAACCGTCGCTGCCCTAGCAGGAGAGGGTTCGACCAAGGGACAGGAGCATTGCAGCACTACCCTTTGCCCTTGCTATCCACCCGATATCAAGATCACGTAAGCATATCACCCCTGCCGTTGCCATTGCAGGGGGAGGCGCTTCACTGGCAGGCAGTTCAGGAGCTAACGGTGCCACGACCAGCTGCCCTTCGAAGGCACGATCTGTCCCGCAGTGCCATGCTGTTTCGGCGTGGCAAAGCGTGCGTTTTTGAACTGTTTGGCTGGCCTTTAACCTTGTTCTATAGGCATTTCAAAGCGAGTAAGTGGGCCACGACATGCCACAACCTAGCTGCCTTTCGAGAAGCCTTCCGTCCTTCACTGCCATGCTGTTAAAGCGTGGCGAGGGGTGCTTTTTCCCGAGCTAGCGGCTGCTCTTGGCATTCTTCTTTGACTGTTCAGAAGACGACCTGATGCCGTCCGACCGGGCAGCGGCGCGAAGCCTTCCGTCCTTCACTGGCAGGTAGTTCAGGAGCTGACGGCGTCACGACTAGCTGCCCTTCGAAGGCACGATCTGTCCCGCAGTGCCATGCTGTTTCGGTGTTGCAAAACGTACGTTTTTGGGCCTTTTGGCTGGCCATATCAAACCGTAAAGCCACGGCAATACCGTGTCAATGTTCTGATATGTTCTCATGATGAAAGCATCGTTCACCGATGCTACTCTACATAAGCCTGTGCAGTGACCCCAAAGGAAAAGGAGGGGAGCACACGGCAGCAAAAGGTATCTAAAGGGGAGCTGCATGAATCAGTACCACCAAACAAATAAAGAAGAAGAAACGAGCGCCATGGTAGCGTCGTCCTGCTATACGCTCAGCAGAAAGCTAACGGACGGAAAATGGTGGTGGAGAGGCAGCCCCTGAATTATAGAAAGGAAAACAGAACAAAGAATGTCACGACGGTACCGCTCGGTGCAGGACACGGCCGAGTCGGTCAAAGAGCTTGGAACCGACGGCGAAGAGAGGCCCGCGCCCGGAAAGTGCGGATCGCAACGGCCAGCTCCTGCAGGAGGAGGCCATAGCAGACTGCGGGCCTGTGAACCTTGTTCTACAGGCGTTTCAAAGCGAGCAAATGGGCCACGACCTAGCTGCCCTTCGTTAAAGGGTGGCCAAGGGTGCTTTTTCCCGAGCTGGCGTCTTGGCATGCTTTTTTGACTGTTCAGAAGGCGACCTGATGCCTTCCGACCGGGGAGCGGCGCGAAGCCGGTGCTTTCTCCGAGCTGGCAGTACGTTTTTGAGCCTTTCGGCTGGCCTTTGAACCTTGTTCTATTGGCGTTTCAAAGCGAGCAAATGGGCCACGACATGCCACAACCTAGCTGCCCTTCGAGAAGCCTTCCGTCCTTCACTGCCATGCTGTTAAAGGCGAAAGGTGCTTTTCCCGAGCTGGTGGTGCGTTTTTGAGCCTTTTGGCTGGCCTTTGAACCTTGTTCTATAGGCGCTTCAAAGCGAGCAAATTGGCCACGACCTAGCTGCCCTTCGAGAAGCTTTCCAAGATATTGGGCTTAGACGGTATATCTGTCTGTCTGTCTGTCTGTCTGTCTGTCTGCCTGGCTGCCTGCCTGCCTGCCTGCCTGCCTGCCTGCCTGCCTGCCTGCCTGCCTGCCTGCCTGCCTGCCTGCCCTGCCTAGCCTGCCTGGCCTGCCTGCCTGTCCTGATCTTCTGTCTGTCTGTCTGTCATGCTTCGTCTGTCTTGTCTGATCCTGTCGTCTCTCCATCTCTCCATCCTCTCCATCTCTCCATCTCTCTATCTCTCCATCTCTCTCGCTATCTCTCCATCTCTCTATCTCTCTAAATCTCTCTGTCTCTCTATCTATCTCTCTATCTCTCTATCTATTCTCTCTATCTCTGTCTATCATCTCGCTATCTCTTATCCTATCTCTCTATCTCTCTCTATCTCATCTCTCTATCTCCCTCTAACTCTATCTCTCTATCTCTCTATCTCTTCTCTATCTCTCTATCTATCTATCTATCAATCTATCATCTATCTAAATCTAATCTATTCTACTCCAACTAACTCAACTAAACTAATCTATCTAATCTATCTAATCTATCTAATCTATCTAATCTATCTAATCTATCTAATCTATCTAATCTATCTAATCTATCTAATCTATCTAATCTATCTAATCTATCTATCTATCTAATCTACCTAATCTATCTAATCTATCTAATCTATCTAATCTATCTAATCTATCTAATCTATCTAATCTATCTCATCTATCTAATCTATCTAATCTATCTAATCCATCTATCTGTCTATCTATCTATCTACCTATCCATCCATCCATCCATCGATCCACCCATCCATCCATCCATCCATCCATCCATCTATCTATCTATCTATCTTATCTATCTATCTTATATATCTATCTTATCTATCTATCTATCTATCTATCGATCTATCAATCTATCTATCAATCTATCCAATCTAATCTAATCTAATCGAATCTAATCTAGTCTAATCTATCTATCTACCTAGCTATCTATCTATCTATCCTATCCTATCCTATCCTATCCTATCTATCTATCTATCTATCTATCTATCTATCCAATCTGAACTAATCTAATCTTATCTTATCTTATCTTATCTATCTATCTATCTATCTATCGATACATACATATACATTAAACTTATTTTTGTATTGCGTCGCCATGCTCCTTTCTTTCCACTGCCATGCCCCCCATAAAGGGGGGTCGGCGGCACCAGGGCGGTAGCCCTACTTATTTTGAAATTTAATGAAAATTATACAGTGCATGTTTCTAGCTTTGGAAGTGTGGAGTGAAATGCACAAGGGAGCCAGGCGGTCAAGAGCTCCTGCCTTGAGGATATTCTCCACTTTCAAGTCACGGTGCTGGATTGGGGGCCTCAAAGACAAGGACTCTTACTCTGCAGATACCAAACACAAAGGCAAAAGGACTTGAGCAACTTGAACAACTTGAACAACACAGCAATGACAAACTCCGACAAACAAACAACCAGCTGGATCGGATCTAATAGAGATACAAGCAACAGAAACATGACTTCCTCCATCCTGGGCACTCCAGCTTTTGTGCATGCAAGTGCCTCACCTGTTATGACTGGCACAAGGAGAAGTTGCAGTCCGTTGTTTGGGAAGATCTATCATTCGTGATCCTTAGATATCCTTCGACGTCCTTACCTGCAAACTCACCTAGCCTGGGAATTTCCAAGGAGGTTTACTGAGTTCCTGGTCGTGGAAATTGGGAATTTCCGCGACTTGTCTGGATCTGAGAGATGTCGACTCAGAAGCTGAGAGTCCATCAAACTGCAAAACAGCAACATTTCGCAAAATGCTGAGCAACAAAAAATGGCCCCACATTTCGGGTAAGACGGGTAAGACGGGTAAGTCAACTAAGTAGTTGAAAGATGTTGGAGGTATAGTCCAAGCATGTTGAAGCTGTAGTAGGCTCAGTAGGCTCAGTAGGCTCAGTAGGCTCAGTAGGCTCAGTAGGCTCAGGTGCGTACAGCTTCTGTGATCTGCACAAACGGCTCCATCATCTCCTTCGGCGATAGTTTCCCGCCTTTGGAGTCCTCGCGAAGCCGCGGCCAGAAACTGCACAAGCAAAACACGTACGACGTTGTACCAGTCATATGATACATTTGCTCAAACTCCATCAAATGCCACCATGATCCTCCATGTAACAAACTTCTGTTGTATCTTTTGCCTGACTTGTCACACCTGGGACTCTTCCCATCCTGGAAGTCCAGCAAATGCCCATGGCAAAGTTCCAGAAGGACCTTCACAGTTCCTCCACCTGGACCATAGATTCACCGCACCGTGGTAAGGCGGAGCAAAATATTGATCCACAACACGGTCACACGGTGGGAGCTGTACAGTGGATCCCAGCCTGCGCTCTTCTGTATGGAATAGCCAAAGCAGCGAATGATATTGTTGTGGGCAGGAAGCTCACTGAGGATCTGTGGCACATGGATTGGTGGTCAACTGACAGAGTGTGTTTATCAAAACATCCAAAGGATGCCGTCTGGCGGCTATGGCATGGTGTATTCGTAAGTTATATTTTTAGATTCTATAAGGGTCATGAAACTGCAGGCCAACGTGCAACTCTAGGAGACTGCCATACTGATTGTTGATAGGCAAGCAGACAACATAAAGGTCAAAAAAAACATTCATCATGCAAGAGAGTGCATTGCAACTACTGAAGAGCAGCAGCACTCTGCTTTTTTTTGACCTGGTGACTTGGCACTTTATGTGATGTCTGGTTATCAAGTGTGTAATCGTTTAACATATGGTGGCCACAGAAACTAATTAATAATTACCCACCATGGGCTGAGCTTTACCTTGATGTCAATATCACGATCAGCGGCACTCTGTATTGTTCCAGCTATTTCATATATCCTTTAATATGCTGTCTTGCTGTGGAGTGTCAGAGTGGTTAGCTTTGACTTTGACTGTCGAGAACTGATGTTCACCCGTTCTTGACTCTTCAGGTTCTTGCAGAGTGAAACTTTGGGGTCCACAAGAAAAACCCTGAGAATCATGGACACTTTGGCCACTTCGCGAACATTTCAGACAAATCCGGCAAACGCTGGGGGCTACGCTTGATCTCTCAATGCTTATGATATGGAAACAATTCCTTCTTTGCGTAGAGCTATGGTAGGCCTTGATAAGCGGTACTCTAAACAATCCTCAAACCAGGAGGTCGCAAAATCAAGTTTTTCCAGCATTGCTGTTTAGTCCATCTAAGTTCAGAAGAACTTAGACCATCACCGACTCTGGACGTTTGGTCAGCAGGTGTCAGCGTTCTGTGTCTGACTCCCGATGCTGCTAGCCCAAAGAAGTAGTAGTCAGGTCTGGAACGCGCAGGGCCTGCAGCAGAAGGGACAGGAAACCGCAGACTCCCACCTACTACCTTTCAGAGCACAGCCAAGACAACAAAGGCTTGAAGAGAAAATATAGCCTCTGGCACGGGTAGCAATCGAACGTTCCATGCACTGCAACGGACTGTTGTGTTCTCATAAAACGAAACCAGCATTTAATGTTGAGCAAGATGAAAACATATTCATCTCAGTCCACCTTTCAGGCTAGGATTTGTAGGACCATTTCGCCTTCACTTGACGAGTCTTGACGCGCAATTTTCACCAATTTTGTCTCCTGCATTTGAATCAATCCCCCTGTCATGCCACAGAAACGGCACAGCCGGCTTGATCACCGCCACATGATACTCTGCTTGGGGCGCCTTTTTTTCTATGTTTTTCCAGTTTTAATTACTTCTCAACTGTTCCATGTATGGCGGTCATCAAAGCAAGCTCAAGACGCTTAAAATGCCTGATCAGCTTCGCTTGTCAGACATAGACGCTGGCAGACCAGCATGCGCGTGCAGGTGGCAGGGGGCACAAGTCAACTTGAAAAGGTACAGAGCAAGTGACCCGTAGAGTACAAGAAGCAGACTGCATACATGCTAAAATCGCGCACAACACTTCAAATCGAAAATGCAATAAGGATTCGTTTTGGGGGCTTTTTATAGACAATCTCATGTTTCTGCTGAAACACCACGTCCACAAAGATTGAAGCAACATCATTGACGACCTGCCGAGGAAGATAGTCAGCCGCAATCAGTGTCGGTCATCTCACACCAGGTCAAATCGTCAGGGTTCAGGAACTCAAAGACTTTCTGCTTCTGCATGCATTTGGTCACCTGTCAGGTTGTCTTATGAATGTAGATAAATAATCATAAATAAATACAAAATTGGGTCATAGTGGTTCGCACAGCTTCAAACTAGCCAGCCGGTACTGCATGATCAAATTTGTATTTTCCCTGTCCAAGGAGTTTCATTGGATCCTTACAGTAAATGGATCTGGGATGATGATTCCCGCTGGGGATCCGGATCATTGTTCCTCGGGGCCTGTGATTTTGCTCAAATTATGGCCGCCTTCAAAATATTATGTGTGTATATACATAATATATATAGTGACGGACACTCAGTTAGAACCTCAAAATTTTTCCAAAATTTCATCGCCCCACAGTTAGAACCCAAAAATTTTGCACAGTTAGAACCTTGGTTTGCAAAGGGTTCTAACTCATTAGAACCTTGGTTTGCAAAAGGTTCTAACTCAGGGGGTAACACCAACCAACTATGAGAACCGCATCATTTTCCTGCACGCATCAAATCTTGTCATTTCAATTTGGCCGCTCTGTTGCGGCAATGCTTGCAAACTCTAATCGCCATTCACTTTGGACAAAATGCTCAGTAAGGGATTCATAAAAATGGAGAAAATCAAATTATATGTTCTAAACTAAAATTAACACACACACACATATACATATATATATAAAAATAAATAAATTACAGGTAGGTTGTTAGATAGATAAAGAGATTTGTCCCGACCCATGGTCCTGGCCAGAGGTTCTTGGTGTGAGCACTTAAAAGGGGCACACACACACACACATGTGAGTTTGCTCAACACGGGTTCATATATTGAACTATCTATGATACGGTTTGTTGTATACTTGTGAATATATGTAAAACGGTTCTACGTGTGAGCACGCGCAAGGGCACAGACATATGTGAGTTTGCACAACATGGGTTCATATACAAGACTATCTGTGATATGATATATGTATACTTGTGAGCATGTGTGTGTATGCAAAGAGGCTCTAAGTGTGAGCACTCGCAAGGGCAACAACATATGTGAATTCGCACAACAAGGTTTCATATACAAAACTATTCATGATACAATATATGTATACTAATACTTGTCAATATATGTATACAAAGATGTCCTAAGTGTGAGCACTCGCAATGGCACGTACAAGTGTGAGATTGGACAGCACGGGTTGATATACAAACGTATCTGTGGTGGAATATAAGTATACTTGTGACATATGTATGTATGCAAAGAGGTTCTAAGTGTGAGCACGCGCAAGGGCATAAACATATGTGAGTAGGCACAACATGGGCTCATATACAAATGAATCTGTGATGTGATTTATGTAGTCTTGTCAGTACGTATACAAAGAGGTTCTAAGTGTGAGCACTCGTAAGGGCACAAACAAGTGTGAGAGTGCACAGCACGGGTTGATATACCAACGTATCCGTTATATGATTCTTGATATATGTATACTTGTGAGTATATGTATGTATAGGCCTGTGTATACAATGACGTTCCAGGCGTGAGCACTCGCAAGGGTACATGTTACAAACACATGTCAGCTTGCACAACATGGGTTCATATACAAAAGTATCTGTGATGGAATATATGTATACTTGTGAGCACATGTATGTATGCAAAGAGGTTCTAAGTGCGAGCACTCGCAAGGGCACAGACATATGTGAGTTTTCACAACATGGGTTCACATAAAAAAAAGTATTTGTAATATGATATATGTATATTTCTGAATATATCTATGTATACAAAGAGGTTCTAACTGTGAGCACTCGCAAGGGCACAAACATATGTGAGTTCGCACAACATGCGTTCATATACAAAACTATCCATGATACGATGTCTGTATACTAATACTTGTGAATATCTGTATGAAATTCTAATAGTTGTGAATATCTGTATGCAAAGAGGTTCTAAGTGTGACAGTGTGAGCACCCGCAATGGCACGTACAAGTGTGAGATTGCACAGCACGGGTTGATATACAAACGTATCTGTGATGGAATATATGTATACATGTGACATATGTATGTATGCAAAGAGGTTCTAACTGTGAGCACTGGAAAGGGCACAGACATATGTGAGTTCGCACAACACGGAGTCATACACAAAAGTATCTGTAATATGAAATTTGTATATTTGTGAGTATATCTATGTAGACAAAGAGGTTCTAACTGTGAGCAATCGCAAGGGCACAAACATATATGTGTGTTCGCACAACGTGGGTTCATATACAAAACTATCCATGATACGATGTATGTACACTAATACTTGTGAATATCTGTATGCAAACAGGTTGTAAGTGTGAGCACTCACAAGGGCACAAACAAGTGTTGCACAGCACAGGTTGATATACCAACGTATCTGTGATGGAATATATGTATACATGTGACATATGTATGTATGCAAAGAGGTTCTAACTGTGAGCACTCGCAAGGGCACAAACATATGTGAGTTCGCACAACATGCGTTCATATACAAAACTATCCATGATACGATGTCTGTATACTAATACTTGTGAATATCTGTATGAAATTCTAATAGTTGTGAATATCTGTATGCAAAGAGGTTCTAAGTGTGACAGTGTGAGCACCCGCAATGGCACGTACAAGTGTGAGATTGCACAGCACGGGTTGATATACAAACGTATCTGTGATGGAATATATGTATACATGTGACATATGTATGTATGCAAAGAGGTTCTAACTGTGAGCACTGGAAAGGGCACAGACATATGTGAGTTCGCACAACACGGAGTCATACACAAAAGTATCTGTAATATGAAATTTGTATATTTGTGAGTATATCTATGTAGACAAAGAGGTTCTAACTGTGAGCAATCGCAAGGGCACAAACATATATGTGTGTTCGCACAACGTGGGTTCATATACAAAACTATCCATGATACGATGTATGTACACTAATACTTGTGAATATCTGTATGCAAACAGGTTGTAAGTGCGAGCACTCACAAGGGCACAAACATAGTGTGAGTGCACAACAGGTTGATATACCAACGTATCTGTGATGGAATATATGTATACATGTGACATATGTATGTATGCAAAGAGGTTCTAACTGTGAGCACTCGCAAGGGCACAGACATATGTGAGTTCGCACAGCACGGAGTCATACACAAAAGTATCTGTAATATGAAATTCGTATATTTGTGAGTATATCTATGTATACAAAGAGCTTCTAACTGTGAGCAATCGCAAGGGCACAAACATATATGTGTGTTCGCACAACGTGGGTTCATATACAAAACTATCCATGATACGATGTATGTATACCAATACTTGTGAATATCTGTATGCAAAGAGGTTGTAAGTGTGAGCACTCACAAGGGCACAAACAAGTGTGAGAGTGCACAGCACAGGTTGATATACCAACGTATCCTGATTCTTGATATATGTATACTTGTGAGTATATGTATGTATGCAAAGAGGTTCTAACTGTGAGCACTCGCAGGGTTACAATCATATGTCAGCTTGCACAACATGGGTCCATGTACAAAAGTATCTGTGATGGAATAATGTATACTTGTGAGCACATGTATGTATGCAAAGAGGTTCTAAGTGCGAGCACTCGCAAGGGCACAGACATATGTGAGTTTTCACAACATGGGTTCACATAAAAAAAAGTATTTGTAATATGATATATGTATATTTCTGAGTATATCTATGTATACAAAGAGGTTCTAACTGTGAGCACTCGCAAGGGCACAAACATATGTGAGTTCGCACAACATGCGTTCATATACAAAACTATCCATGATACGATGTCTGTATACTAATACTTGTGAATATCTGTATGCAAATACTAATAGTTGTGAATATCTGTATGCAAAGAGGTTCTAAGTGTGACAGTGTGAGCACCCGCAATGGCACGTACAAGTGTGAGATTGCACAGCACGGGTTGATATACAACGTATCCGTGATATGATTCTTGATATATGTATACTTGTGAGTATATGTATGTATGCAAAGAGGTTCTAACTGTGAGCACTCGCAGGGTTACAATCATATGTCAGCTTGCACAACATGGGTCCATGTACAAAAGTATCTGTGATGGAATAATGTATACTTGTGAGCACATGTATGTATGCAAAGAGGTTCTAAGTGCGAGCACTCGCAAGGGCACAGACATATGTGAGTTCGCACAACATGGGTTCACATAAAAAATAGTATTTGTGATATGATATATGTATACTTCTGAGTATATGCATGTATACAAAGAGGTTCTAACTGTGAGCACTCGAAAGGGCACAGACATATGTGAGTTCGCACAACACGGAGTCATACACAAAAGTATCTGTAATATAAAATATGTATATGTTTGAGTATATCTATGTATACAAAGAGGTTCTAAGTGTGAGCACTCGAAAGGGCACAACCATTTGTAAGTTTGCACAAAATTGGTTTATATATTATATAAGAGGAATTACGATATAATATAAATATGATTGTGAGTATATGCATGTATGCAAAGAGCTTCAAAGTGTGGGCACTTGCAAGGGCACAAACATATATGTGAGTTCGCACAAAGCGGGTTCATATATAAAAGCATCTGTGATATGATCTATATATATATATACATACTTGTGAGCATGTGCATGTATACAAAGAGGTTCAAAGTTGGAGCATTCGCAAGGGCACAAACAAGTGTGAGAGTGCACAGCACAGGTCGATATACCAACATATCCGTGATATGATTCTTGATATATGTATATTTGTGAGCATATGATATGTATGTATGCAAAGAGGTTCTAACTGTGAGCACTCGCAAGGGCATAGAATTATGTGAGTTCGCACAACACGGAGTCATTCACACAAGTATCCGAAATATGAAATTTGTAAATTTGTGAGTATATCTATGTATACAAAGAGGTTCAAACTGTGAGCACTCGCAAGGGCACAGACATATGTGAGTTCGCACAACACGGAGTCATACACAAAAGTACCTGTAATATGAAATATGTATATTTGTGAGTATACCTATGTATACAAAGAGGCTCTAAGTGTGAGCACTCGCTTCAAAGTGTGCACTGGCAAGGGCAGAGACATATGTGATTTGGCACAACTTGAGTTTATATACAAAAGTATTTATCATACGATATGATATATGCATACTTGTGGATATATGTATGTATACAAAGAGGTTCTAAGTGTGTGGGTTCGCGAGGGCAGAGACATATGTGAGTTTGCACAACATCGGTTCATATACAAGAGTAGCGATAATATTATACATGATTATACATGTATACTTGTGAATATATGTATGCTTAAAAGGGGTTCTAACTGTGAGTGTGTACAAGGGCAGGAGCATATGTGGTATATGAAATGTGGGGTTCTAACTGCGACTAATTTTAAAGCTTCTAACTCTCGGAGTAAGAACCCGGCCAGATGTACGAAGTCCGTTTTTTTTCCAAAATAGGTTCTAACTGGGTGTCCGTCACTATATATATATAATACATATATAATTAATCATATATACATATCATCATGTATCAACCATTGCACACAGAAGGTGAATGTTTGGAGGAAATCAAGCATTTCTCTACACCCAAGACTAGCTCTAGGATCGACAGTATCTATCCGGCTGCTATCGAATGTTAGATGAGAACACCCAAAGTGATCAAGGGGGTGCGCAACAAGTTGAACCATAGCAAAGATGTGTGAACAAAAGATTCTATCCATGCTCATTGAGGGCCAGAACTGCAGCAACAACTGAATCATGGAGGAAACTTCAAATGGCTTGCCATTCGAATTCGCCCTTGGCATTGCCTTTCCCACGTCCTGGTCCCCTTCATTCATGTTGCCACTCTGCCGCCAAGTTGCGGACTTCGTCTTTCTTCAGCTCCTCTGCCTTCAGAGGTGCAATGCCCAAGTCCAAAGTCATATCCACAAACCTCAGAGGGCTTGTGCTGCATTGAAGAACCCTTGGCAAGACATGGGTCATGGATACCATGGTCAATGGTGATATGCTCTCCCCTTCCGCTGTCATGTGGGTGCCAGACTCAGGCTGGAGGAACCCATCCCATGCAGCACCTATCTTCGCCAAGCCACTCGTCGAAGGAGATAGTGCCGTTGGCATCAGTGTCAAATTTGTCAAAGAATGCCTTCATAGCATCTTCGTCGACTGCCTCAGTCTAGGAACACATCTCTACCTGTATACAGTAGTTGCTTTGCTCGCTGACAACACGTACGCCTTACCCCCACTGCCAAGGTAGTGGAAAAAAACACACACAGCCTTTTGCCATCGAAATCATGCCGTGACTGCAACGTGGTGTCCATTCAGCCTGTGAATGTTTCTTTGCAATTCACAAGACCATCGGGCCACACCTGGTACCTCTTTCGAAGCTTCTTGGATGGAGCTGCCTCAACCTGACAGAGCAGGCAAAGATATGTGTGTACATGTATGTATCTATGTATGTATGATTGTGTACGTAAATTGTATTCTCTTATCAAGCTCTTTAAAACGCTTTATATAGGCGTCTAAGCTTGTGACTCTTTCCTTGTGGTTTCAACTCAAGTTGCAGTTCCAGTTCTGTCCTGGTTTAGGATCCCTTCGGGATCCCTGATCCCTGCGTGCCTTCTCACCTGTAAAGATCTCGGCAGGTCCTTCCTTGGCCATTCGGGCCTCCAGGTTCTTTGCCACCCACTCCTGCTGAACACAACAGGCATTGGCTGCATTGGTCATTGGCCCAATTGGCTCTTTGTTATCTTTCTCAGCAAAGTTGAATCTTTGTTCATTCCAACACACTCGAAACTATCGAAGATCTGCGCACCAAACGTGTCTTCATGCAAGAATTGACGACCCGGGATTCTCAAGGTTGATTATGCCTTCTTGCCACACAACACCTACCAACACAAAATGAATGCCTTACTTACCTCTTTTTGATTCCAAGTACATCGCAGAACCTCTCAGACTTCCACCATGTTATGCTCCGAAACTTGTGTCCAACTATGCCCACTGCCACCACTGCCACCACTGCGCTCCACGAACTTCTCGGTGGTGAGGCCGTTGGGACCCATGAGATCACGGGTGCCGTTACCGGTGCGGAAAGCCTCGTAGACGGCTTCGCGGCAGCTGAGGGTGAACCTTGCCAGATCCGACACCGTCGTGTCGTGACACAACCATGTGCGATCATGTGCGATCCGTATCATGCAGCTGAAGGATTTTCACATGAGATTCGTCTGCAAGGTCCAATGCAAGATTTAGCTATTTGTTTTCCATTCAAACGATTCAAATGGCTACCTTGGCATATCCAAATTGGCACAAGTTGAAAACCAAGGAACTTGGTCACTTCCGCTTGCGATTCTGGATGAAGGGCCTGTGCAAACAGTCCGAAGAGATTGCAGGGGATAGATAATTTCTGAGAGCCCATGCTCGCACACTTGCCAAGCAATCAGCTGAAGTACTGTACATTTCAGTGCAGAAGATGTTTAGCTCAGTGGCTGCAGCGTGGTCCATTGCACCCAACCTTGAATGTGACAAAAATATGACAGAAAGATAGTCCGCACAATTTCAACAAATGTCTGATGACGGGAATGGGGTGAAGGGCATTAAGCAAATATGTATATATATATATAGCAAATACAAATCAGCAATGAGCAGGAACAATCGTCAACGGTTAAAGATGTTAAAGCTTACCAAGCATCATTCTACTGAAGCCAAGGTGCAGTGCCACAACCATGCCCAAGGGATTCATGGATGTTTCCTGGCATAGTTTGATTGCAATATAACCTTTTCTCCGACTGGGGTGCAAAATAGACTCTCTGCTCCAAACTGGTAACCTCTGTTTAACCCAAAAAAACAATGTGGATCTGTGGATCAGTTTGGTTCACTGCTTTAATGATGGTAGGCAACATGTCCCGGGGGGTGCTAAAGTCAAGGTGGTCCTCACCACGAAGGTGCATGTGCCACAGATCGGCTACCTTAGGCACAGCCACTCACGCAATTTTTTGTCCAATCTGAGTTAATTGCTTGTGATGGATGACTTCACTGCTTTGACAAGCACAATCAGCAACCGTTAGCAACCCCCAAAATTTTAGTGTGCTTGGGCTCCATGGATGGCACTACCCTGTCAATTCAAAATCGCACCGTTGCCGCATGAAAGCTGCCATCTTGGTCTAGCTCTGCCGGACACATTTGTGATTGGTTGGAAAATGTCAGGCATTGGGATGAGGAAGACCTGTGAAGCCCGTCATGTTCCAGCCTTTTTCACACATGGCAAGGTTAGCATCGTCATGAAACTTGAGTCCCTGATTAAGTGAAGGCAGGCGCGAAAGTCTACGTGCACAACCAGTGCGTGCATTATGCACTTTAACGTCTTTACTACGGGTGCGTATGTATATTATATTTATATTAAATATATAACTATATATGTGTATATATATATACATTATATGTTATACCGTATATAATTATATAATATATATATATGTATATATATATATACATATTACAAGGGCCCATGTTTGTGAAGCCTGTTTCCTGCAAAAAATGTTTTTTTTTGGAACTGCTTGACTGCGCTTTTGCTGCGGCTTGCTGCGCAGCAATGCACACAGCCTCAGTCAAGCACCTATGGTGGCCATGTTTGTGAGGAGGATGTTAGATGTCATGGCGGGGTACCTGAATCGGCGGATGTTTGGGTATGTCTTTTGTTGTAGGGTACAACCCTAGGAGCCACTTGAAAGAATCTTCATAGAGCTTCTCAGTGCAAGTGACAACAAACACCGATTCAAGCCCATTCGCTCCCATTTGCATGCTGGGCCGGGTCTTGCCTGCTCTGTTGCCAGCCTGAGTGATCCCTCAATCGCCACCGACCAGATGATCAGGAATTGTGCCATGATAGGCTTTCAGAGTGGAAGCTAAAAGGAGATGTGCTATCCACACAATAGGTGTTAGGACATAGCAACAATGGTTGCACAGAGTTGCACTTCTAGTCATGCCAGGTGGATCACCGGAAAACCCACCAGGAACGGGGGAGGAAGCTTGTGTCACTTGCCCCCTAGGGGGAAGCATGGAGACCAGGAACAGCCAGGAACACGAGGATGCGGAAACTGCACCAGAATGACAATATTCTCCAAAAGCAAAATCTCAGGAACGCTGCCATTGTGGTGGACACAAAAGTGCTTCCCATTGTGGCAAAACAGGGATTCTGTGACATAATCCACAGGGAATTGCCCGAAAACCCCTCTGGCAGTGTTACTCGTGGTCTCCAGTCCTACTATAGCAGTACGTACCTCTGAGAGCCACACCTTTTTCCAGCAGTATGCGTGCAACAAGGGACATCACCCGGCACTGGTTCTGGTGCCCCGCAAAGTCTGCATTTCTTGCCTCACACTTGTGGCCCCCCATAGTGTTGCATCTCAATGTCTACTTGCAGGCAGCTGTTGCGCTTCCCAGGGCGCAATCCAAGCAAGCTCGCTTAAGCGTAGCGCATCTTGCGCCCTTTTGGCCGCACCACCCGAAACTCTAGTGGCTTCGGTTGCACCGGCTCAGGACAAGCAGGCAGTGCATGAATTGAGCAAGCCTGGAACGTAACTGCGAAGCCCGGCACCAATGCCATGAAAGGAACGTTGCCACTTCGGGGCTGTGCGAGCCACAATCAGGCAGCATGGCTCAGGTGACACAACCATGCTCAGAGCTGCGGTTGGCCGTCAGGGTCGGCTCGACGTAGTTCCTCGTATTTTCTTTTCAGCCATAATTTGGAAGCTGCAACAGCAAAGCCGTCAAGTGGTTGGACCAATGCAGCGCCTGTGCGGGTGTGCGGGGTGCTCGCCCTGCCACTGATCCTCGAAGACATTTTGGGCTGTAGAGCATATTGGTCACAGCACCTTCTTGCCGCTGCTCCCATGCTTCTGTTTCAAATATGCGAAAGTCAGCCAGAACACCGTCACCTGCCATTGGTGCAGGGCAAGGTGGGAGAGGAACCTGGACCCAAACGCACGGGATTAAACCTTGATGAGGGAAGGGTTTGGGGCTTTAAAACAGAGCCTAGAATCTGGCACCCAAAAAGTGTGCCCCCACTTCTTCCGGCCTCTGTTTCTGTCCCACCCAAGGGTCCCAAAAATGTAGCCGCAAAACCGCCCACTTGCCCAGCCCTGGTGCGGGGCTAACAGATCCGCATCTTGTAGCATTACCCCTGCGCAGCCGCCATCGCCGCCGCCACCGGGCAACCCATTTGTTGGCGGACCTTCCGACCCATACTCGCAGAGGTGCTGTCGCGTTCAAATTGGTGGAGGCCGGCAGCTGCGTTTGTTCTCAGCCAGCGCTCCCTTTAGTTGCTGCAGCTCCATGCGTGCAAGAAAGGCTAGGGAGCGCAAAGAGACGAAACAGCCTGGCATGCACATATGTGTGATCTCGAGTTGAGCGGCCTGGCTGCCATATGAAACGAAATGGCGTTGCACTGCTTTTCATGTAGGTCCTTGTCTGCAGGAACGGTGACTGCAAACAAAGTGCAACCTCATGCTACCTATTTCTGGCTAGGAACCCCTTGCACAGCCTGCATGTCCTAGCCTGGCTGCGGCGTGTGCAGTGATTGCACCCTGTTACAGCTACTCAACACCACCATGGGCTATGAGATTGGCATGGATGAAGGACATGACTGCCAAGTGCAATTTCAAATCCTGCACACATGCAAAGAGGTACAGTTGCGATACGCTCTGGCTAATCCTGAGCACAAACATGTATGTCCATTGTATATATAGTATTTTGTAAGTACTGTAAGTACTGTACATTATTCGTGTGTTGTCAGGGTGCAAATTTGATACTCTTGCCACTCCTACACTAATTTACCAAGTCACAGTTCCATGGGAGGCTTCAAATTCCTTGATCAAGGAGCCATCCTCGCTCTTGCCCACCAAGTTCCTAGGAACAAGCAATAAGAGCACGAACGAGAGATATGGCAAAAGCATTCAATCACTTTATGTGCTTCGATTCATAAAGGTTCATAAAGGTTCAAGGTCCTTCATTTTGACCTGGGCTCTGTGAGGCAATGAAGTCGCCGACTGTGAGGAACCAAACAACCACAAGTTGCGTCTGCTTTTTGCTGCTTTCTCACAGAGAAACCACCCGAAGATTTCCGAAGATCAGGGAATTGCTGATCCCTAAGGAAACCATCAAGCACTATATACATCTGGATACATCTGCTGTTTGTACGGCTATACCAGTACCGTGATACCATACGAGGGAGTTGAGTTCCCCATTCTTGCCCTTGCAGTCTTCTGCCCTTTGCTGACTAGTGGTTCTCTCCGTACAGTATCCCGCACGCTGATCAGCTGGGAGAACGGATGGAATACATAAAACCATATAAAACCAGCAGGGACATATTTCTGAAAAGGTCCCAGTGGCGAGGTGATAAAGCCAGGGCTGCGGTGCACCTGAAGGTATGAAGAGTGCAGCTGCAAATTCAGTGGTGCGAACAGATCAACTGCAATAAAACGCCGGCTTGGAATGTATCTTGTCGAAGATCTGTTAGGAGATTCAGAGATCTGTGTCGTTAAGAAAAACACATTCGCGATCACTTTCCTATCTTTCCTTGAGCTGTATAGAGGCAGTCACTCACGGGATGTGTCGGATATGTGACATGTTGCGAGCCTGCGCCACCTCGTCGGTCAGCATGTCACCATCGTAGTTGTGGCATGCCATTCCAAAGCCGCCACCCGTCCTCTTCGGCAGCGCACGAATCACAGGACGGGCAAGGAACTAGGTGTGAAATGATGCAAAAGATTGAAGAATTTGAAGAATGTTGCAACATTGCCGTCTACATCGTATACATCGTATGAAACCAGCGAATTGGCAATGCAATGGACTCCACCAAACTCTGCCGTCCAGCGGATGATCTGCATTGTAGCGGCATCCTCAGGATATGCCACACAAGAGGCTACAGTACGGTAACCAGCTAACCCAAATCCATCTGGCCATTGGCTACAAAATGCTACAAATAAGTGCTCCAAGTCTTGTATGCCAAGGGCTGTCAGCATGAGACGTACGAAACACATTGAAAGACCGTCACTGTGAAGTCAAGAAAAATCTGCTTGCAGCATGAGCAGCACTGATCAGGTGGATCAGCTCGCCTCCACACTTGTCAAGAAGCCCAGCCTTCAGAAACTTCTCCTCAAGACTCGAGACAACCATGTACACCAGAGACTACCAGTTGCACAGGGGGCGCTAATCCAAGAAAGAAACAGAAGCAGTGGCTAGGCATCGCATATGGCAGGTACAGGTTTCAACCCGTCAAAACTGATCAGCATGCAAGTGCCGGAAACCTGCTCCTCTGAATACTCTACCTGACCACGGCTCGGCTTTGTGCGCAGTCCTTGTACTCTGCATCGAAAACCTTCTTCATCTTTTGCCAGAAGCCCTCCTGCCACTTGAAAACGGTCCTCAGAAACTCAGAGCAAACATGGGCAAACGACGTAGGGTTGACAAAGGTCATTCCAAGAACAAATAAAAGTGGAAGCTCTAATTTGGCGCCTGTTCCCCTCCACTCTCTGGAAGTCCAAGTGTCTTTTTCGTAACCACATATGGCACAATGTTGGCCTTTCGAAAGCCGCAGCGTTGGAAAATACAACCCCGCTTCATCGGAGACACAGAACATCAACAAGACAAGTCTTGTAAGAAAATATTGGTAACAATTGGAATTGTAAAGAATTGTTGACAGAGTTGTTGGGGGACAATCTGTGCGAAATTCCAGAACAAAGGCTGACTTCAAGGCCTCAAGGCAGCGCTGGAAGAAGATGTGCGCCAGGTCTCCGACATTGTCCAAAGGGTTGTCATACACTACCTTAGTCATAGTCATACTCTCATATGCAACGCAAACGGAAGGTACATCAATGGCCAGTCGTTGATTCAGAAGTTGTCTCACTGTGTCAACAGTCCGTTTGAAAGACTCGACTCACCCGCTAAACTCTTGGCTGAAGCCTTCTGCCACGGCATCCAGGTTGCAACTGCGGATTCATCATCATGAAGTACACGCCCATCAATGATCACAGGCTTTTCCTTCTCATCTTCAGGCCAGTAAGTTGTGAGCACCTACTGGCCAGGATGGTCAGGGCTTAACAAAAGCTGCATGAGGGTTGTTTCAGTTTCAGGTGAAAACGGCTTGATGGGGAAGCATTTGCAAGCCGAGGGAAGCAGCAGCACAGCTTGGGGCTAAATTGTTTCATTACAGAAAAGAAAATGTGATTTATATGTGAATTTACAGCAACACGATACTGTGCATCCACCTGTGACAGAAGAGTTTGCACAAAAGGTTCAACAATGAAACACCATGTCAGATCTCCCGCCTTTCCTTTGCCGACTCCCTGGCGCAAAGGCAGGATGTATTTCGCTGGTTTCTCGACTCTGAATTGGATACTTATAGTGCCATGAGTACAATGCTGGCCTTTAAGTCTGATTACTGGCTCAGACTCAAACCTGCCTTCCAGCTTGCACCGTACTCACCGCCAACTGCATGTCGTTCAAAGAAGACGGGGCGCTCAAACCCAAGCTTAATGCCTGGAAGCAAAAACCAAACAGGAAGTGAAGTGATCGAGCGTTCATTACACACTACAGAGTAGCTTGCTTGAACAGGAATGGAATGCCAACCGTTGGATCGAATGGCAATGCCTTTATCATCATGTCAGCATGTCACTTGAAGAAAAAAATGCTCATGTCAGCGAGATTCTCCTCACATGTCAAGGGTGTTTGGATTTTATGCAGAAACGCAGCCTGGGATGTGGATGGTGTCACGAGAGATTGTAATACCATTCCAGCCCCTGCACAGCCGCTGGCAAGGGAAGCTTTAGTGCTCATAAACGGATATGTGTGCAAATGCGTATATCTAAGTGAGATCCATCTTTTTTGGTGGTCCACTGTTCAACGGTCCTCTACTAATTCAGAAAAGGTTTGGTCTTGTCCATTTCGGATTTCTTGTGTATGAGTTTCCTTTAAGCTTAAACAAAGAGATTTAGGACACATCCTTAAACTTGTGCGTCCACGAGAAAATGCGCTGTACAATGTTATTTCTTACATTTTCTTGCTACAAGTAGGGTCCCTTGGCGGTCGGATATTTCTTTCTTCAAATCCAATCAGAACGCATTTGGGTCTCCCTTTGGGTCTCCTTCTCATGGCGCCATTGGGAGAGCCAAAAGGCTTCTTGAGGCCAAACTCCTTCACCTGCCGCTCACATGCCGCTCACATACCGCTCGCAAGCCACTGAAAGCCACTGAAAGCCAGTGTAAGCCTAGAAGGAGTGCCTTCAACCTTGAAATGAGGGGATTGAGAGAGTTTTGATCTAGCTGAAAGGAGAGACTCATAGATGGACTCAACACATCATGTTTGGAAATGCACACCTGTTCCGTGGTTGGAGTGATGGTTGGCTCCTGGCGCAAGTCACGTCCAGTTCACTGCCGCACGTTCTCCCAAGCTCTTGCTTCGTCAGTCATCCAGATGTCCTTGAAGATGGCACCCAGACGTTTGCCCGAGGCCACAGCCTCGTGCAGGACCTCCACTCTTGGAGAAAGTCGCCAAGACTGAATTCATCTCAATCCTTCTTTTATCCTGCTTTGTGTTAACGAAAAAGCACCAAAACATCAAAAAAATAACTGAAAGAAGATCAAAAGAAGATTCAATTTTAAAAAGTAAAGACGAGTAAAGCATAGTCAGCCTTTCCATCTGTTTTTGCATGGCCTTGTCATTCGTCTCATCACGACTCTTGCAGCTGAGATCGAAGTATTCCCACTTTGAAGTGTCAATAAACGGTTCCACCCACTGCTCCTTGGAGAAACGACCGCCGGTTGAGGAAGATTTGTGACCCTGGTGGGTCTTGAGATCGTGTTTCCGATCTTGAAATGCTAAAGTTGCTAAAGGAATGGCAGTTTGTCCCACATGCTGCCACATGCTCCTGTATTGAAAGTACTTGAAGGTAGTGAATGCCTCAACCCCTGCATGTTCTTGTGATGAAGTCTGGGTGGGCTGTGGAATAGAAAATACGGGATGCTTGGTTCATTAAGATCACCTCCGGTCCTGGAGTCGGTGAAATGCTCTTTGTCACTTGTAACAAAGTCAAGCATAGCGTCGCTGTCGCGACAACTTCAACAAGTTTCAACCAACTTCGACCTTCAAAATTCAATTGTGCATCCCGTGTCCCAATGTCATTGCCTCCCTATCTCACATTCTTCATTGCTAAGACCCGGACTCGAATGATCTTCATGGTGTACCAAGACATCTCCTGACAGCAACATGGTACTGCTGCCAAAACAGTGTCCAAATGCAGCTCTGGAAAAGAGATGAAAAGAGTACCATGCGAAGACTTGGAGAGATGCATACGGGCAGCAAAACGCACTGTATCTTGTGGAGTCCACTGCTGATCGTGGGTGTGATTCGTGAAGAACTTCCATGCGAATGGCGGGTTTTGCTTTGACAGCCTTTCCCAGAAACGCGCTTCTATGAATTGGGAAGTGATGTTGGACAGCGCTTGGGATCTATTTGGGCTTTGAAGACAAAGTATCAATGTTCCTACGGATCTGCTTCCAGATTCCCTGGGTCCTCGCCGGAAATGTACGTCATGGGAGGTGCTGCAAACTTCTTGGTTGCAAAGCTGCGCCAGGCCTGAAGAGCACAAAGAAACAGCACCAACAGTTAGGCGACAGTTGAATCTGAATAATGTCAATTTCATCTCAACTCAAAAGTCCAAAAAGTCGTCTGCCAAAGTTCGTCTGATGAGCAGAATGCCTCTACACCGCTCAACTGTGGGCGTGATGAGCAGTGAGGTACAGCTTTAGCTGGGGGTGGGAGCTTCATCCTGTTAGGATAGGACGATGTCTAGGCAATCAGGGGAGAATAAGATACGATAAGTCGATGAGTTTGCATCGTTGAAGCTTTTTTGGAAGATTTTTGTTCTGAGGCTATTTTGGGAAATGTGGATTTATTGGAGTCCTTTGGTCAGCCTGGACCCCGCCGTGCTGAAAAAAACACGACGGCGTTTTCTTGGAGGCTCTTTTAAGTAACCGTGAATTATTGATGTAGAGGATTCTGCATTGATTCATTCTGTTCCATGCTGCTGGTAGGGTATATAATATATAGATATATGGCAACTGTGGGCCAAACTGTGAAGCGGGGCAGTCTGAAGGCTGTATGATTTGACAAATTGGTAGTACTCTGACTGGCTCTACATCATTCGATTACTCTGGACGGATCAAAAGCCTGATTTCGTGGATCAAGGGTCTAGAGGCAGTTCTTGGCAGTTCTTGGCATCTCCGTTCATATCGGCACAGAGGTTTCCATCTTTAGTCAACAACCTGCCATGCTCATCTATATAAATCTAGGCCAAGTCTACCATTCTGCCAGGGGCCCGGCGCGAGAACCATTCTGAAGGAACCTTGTAGTCAGAACGCCTGCCCGATGCCACAGGACTGGAGATCTGATAGAAACATCGAATCGGCGTTTTCGTTGTTTCATGTTGTTTCAGCATGAAGATTCCTAGGTGTTTTCATGATTTTTCATGTGTCTGTCGATGGAAAAAAAGGCTCTAGCAATGACCATATCTTACGATGAGCTCCAATGGTCTGGGACGAAAGTGACGAAAGTCCTCGCCTGCTTGACGCGACAACATCACGATTTCCACACCTTCATCAGAATAAGTCAGAAGCATCACATCACCAAGGAATTGAATATGAAACTGGTACTCAATGTAGACACCTACTAGAGATCTGCTTCAAGAATAGAGAAAGATTGGATCTGAGAACGAGTGGATTGAAATATGGCATGGAGGGACACAAGTTCAAATTGAATCTGCAGTACGTGTGCAAAAGCTGACATGTCATGCAATGTGTCTTTGACAATTCTTTGACTGTGTATCATTGACATTCATTGACTGCATCCCCGCGATCAATAAGTCAATAAGTGAGCAAAAACCAATGTAAAACATCTTTCAGGGAGCCGCCAGAGCGCACCTGTCAAACCTTCAAAGCACCGAGGTTTCTGGAAAAAGGACAAGGAACTTGAGCCGGCAATTGCAGTCGCTTGACAACTTTCCATGCAAAGTCGTGGTTTCACATGGCTGTTGGTTGAAAAAACGCAAGTCCTGCTTGTTCGCTTGTTCCGTATCTGTGTCACGTCACTGACTCTACGTCTCATCAAGACCCTTGCCAAGCTGAGACTTTAAAAGCTGAGCTTTAGGCCTCTTGGCTCTGCAAACAGCATGGCTCCGACCGATCTAAGAGAAGCTTTAAAGATCCTCGAAGTCCGTTGGACGTTGACTTTAGAACTTTAGAACCGCAAGATCCCTCTTGAGACTCTTGAGTATGATTGTTGCGGGAATGTTCAAGGTACGACGTAGCTGCTACGTAGCTTGGATCCAGCTCTTGGGTCCGGCTATTTTACTTGCCCACTGAAATCTGATCCACTGCGGAGAGCGACCATCTTCTCACTGATTCTCGGACTACTTCTCGCAAATGGCCATATATAAATTATCAGCTAAATAAATGCTAGAATGCTAGACTCTGATTCATGACTCAATGAGTCGTTTCATTCATCTTTCCGTGTTGACTTTTGCAAGACCAGCATGACGCATGGAAGAGTCCCCGCCTTGGCCTCTCGCTCTGCTGCATCGAAACTGCTCGCAACCTTAAGTAGGTACAGACTGTACAGATTTGAGTCGGATTCAATCCGGGAAGAGTGGCGAGGGTTTGTCACAATGTCTTTAGAGTTCTGTGCCATTCTGTGCCCATGTTTGGGAGAATGCGGTTGGATCCGTTTCCAGTCCTCACGTTAGGCAAGGAACGACAAATCTGTACCTCAAGTGATGTTTAAGCCAAGTACCTTTCGGTAAGGTTACATTCCTCCCGGAAGAAGAAACATGAAGAAACACATGTTGCACAAAATGTCTTTAATCCACGATTGTCTCGGTGCATTGCCCGCAAATGCAACTATGTTCACGCCACTTTCTCCTCAACTGAGGACACAGCCTGAACACCCTCCATGCAACTGATTTTCTTCAGCGCAAAAGTCTCTGCCGTCCTCACATTCAAACGCAAATTACCGCAAATTGACACTAAAGAATGGATCCGGGGTCGTTCTGTGCTTTGGTATTGAGCTCACTATCTGCAATTCTCAACTGACACAGAACAAGAATCAGCACAGCTGCGCCTGTTGCAGGAGACCTTCATGACTGCACCAAAAGCTCCTTCAGCCAGAAAGGCAACCTGCAGCGATGACATGCATTACATACAGCTTTGCGCCGGAAAAACATTGAAAAATACCTTCAGGTACTATCAGGATCTATCATGTACTACCTTCATCATGTTTCATCTATCTCTCTTCTTAACCTTCTTCAATATCTTCCATCTTCATATGCAGCTTGACATCGTGCCTCGGTCACATCCCTCGCAGGGGTGCCATTGACACCCTGCAGGTGATGACTTTGTCCAGAAAAGCTGGCGCTGGTGAAGCTGGGGACAGTGCCCAAGTTTTCCTGGCAAAACGAACGGAATCCGAGATAATCCGAATACTGATAGACATTGATAGACTCTGATAGTGTGGGAGTCAGTATGAGCATCAAAATAAATATGATGAGGAAGAAGGAGATAACCTTCTTGTTTGCAAGCGAAGGTCAGACTCAAAGATTGACAAATGCCGCAGCCGCAAAAGCATTTGGATTTCCGCAATTCTGTGGCTTAGATATGTCAAGGCTTTGCTGAGTTTGTTTGTTTTAGTGATGGTGACAAATGCATCAACTTCCAAGCATGGGATAGATATGATAGACTGATAGACCATCAAACTTGGGACAGGCCTCGACTTCATGATTTCATAATATCTTGAAGAGATTTAAAGAGTGCAGGATAGTGAAAAAGCCAGTGCAGGCACGTTACTGACGTAAAAACTCTGTGGCCTTCACTGACTTTTTCACTTCTTTCACTCCAGATCGAATCGAAGCAGCCGCCTCAGCGCCAGAAGCGCTAAGAATCTTTGCTCTTTGGGATGGGCCAGGAATGGAAAAGTGTTAAACTCTACGCCGTACGGCCATCAAAGCAAGCCGAAGCAGGTGTGCTTGCATGGAAACTGTCCTGATTCAAACAAAATTCAAACCTATGACACATTCTGATACATGCTGCAAAGTTATGCAACTGCCCTGTTTTTCCAGCATAGTTTAATGGTTTAATGTGTCAATCACGTGCGAACTAATGCAACTTTAAAAACTTTGGCCGCAACCAATGTGTCGGATCAAAACTGCCCTCCACTCGGAGCTCCAACAGCAGCAGCAGCTGGGCCCAGCTGTTCGGAGGCTTGACCTGTCCCAAAGACTGAACACGTCTAGAAATGTTGGACAAATTCATATCAAACATACGTACGTATATCAAACATATTTAAGCATAGAAATGTGTTGGACACCATCATGACACATGTAAATAATTTAAATAATTTATGTAGAATACGAAACACGTAGTTATACTGATCAATGGATGGATGGATGGGATGGGATGGGATGGGATGGGATGGGATGGGATGGGATGGGATGGATGGATGATGGATTGCACGCCACCCTGCATCTTGATCTTCTGAAGGGCACACAAAACATCACAAGACCAGCATCAAGAAAAGTAAGCTGCAGCAAGAGTTCAATTAAAGTTGGGTAGACAACCCCTAGGCCCAAGAACTGGACAGTTGCTCCGGGCATTGTCTTGGGGTCTTGGCTAATGTACTGTAGATGTTTTCATTCAGACTCAGGTCCCTCTGAGAGATTAGGAGCAAAGGGAGAAATGAAGAAGCAACTTTCGAGAAATTTTGGTCGCTCCTAATGAATACCTCAATTTATCCTCTTTTGATCTTTTGGCCTTTGTTTCGGATCAAGGTTCTAATGAACTTCGAAGTGCTACTTTGACAACAACTGCGTTTGTACCTCTATAGTTTCTGCATATCACCTGGCTATCGCGAGATGATCGTATGTGCATATTTTATATTAAATCACTGGACCATTGGCACTCATCGGCCATTCTTTGGCTTGATCACATCCTTCGGACTCCAAGTGGCCCATTTGGATTTAAGCATATGGGTCAACAATTGTCCTTGTGAACAGGTCTCTGTCTCCTGTTTTCGGGATCTTTACAAATGTGGCCTCTATTTGCGCAGTGTTCACAAATACTAAGCAAGCTTGGAAATAAGTTGCCGCTGGTCCATGCAAGCTTTGATTCTTGCTAGGGGAAAGGACACGTCGGACACGTCGGACACGTGTGCCAAGGATGTCTGAAACATCGCGGCGGGCGAGCCTAGAAGGTTGCTTCCCCAGGAGCTCAGTCCCTGGCACATTTCCAAAGCTACAGGGCATCAAAGACTAAGGTATTTGCGAACTCACAGAGGTTGCACAGCTAAACTAAAGTCGCATCAAACAATGGATAGGGCCTTAAATGAAGCGACAATCCTACGTCACTTGATTGTCCTCTGAAAAAATGAAGCAAATTGCAGCTGAGCAAAGTTGAACTTTGACAAGAGCAACAGAAACAGGCTAACAACAGCAGCAGCAGCAGCAGTAGCAGCAGCAACACCACCACCACTACCACCAACATCGTCATGGTCGTCGACATCATCATCATCATCATCATCATCATCATAATCATCATAATCATCATAATCATCATCATCATCGAAGAAGAAGAGGAAGAGGAAGAGGAAGAGGAAGAAGAAACTTTGGACCCATTCGTATCCATGGTCTCTCAAACTGAGCACTGACAGGTTAATTATTTTCAGAGACTTCTCTTTCCATATTTAGAGATTCTGGTTGACTTCACTTTCACCCAAACAGCATCTACAGTATCAGATTTCACCGCAAAAAGCACGCCAGGTCAGGGGAGCTCATGTCTCTATCTCTCTGGGGTCAGATGTTCACCAAAGATCGCGGGTCCCAGGATGCAATCGGATGCAATCCTGCAGAAAGAAATGCCAATTCCATTTTTTTTGTTGGTCGGTGGTCTGATCCCGATTGTCAGCTCCAAGGATAGCTGACAAGCAGAAGCTCAAGAAAAGTGGAAGGTTGTGGTTGCGCATGAAATGCCGACGGTCATTGTGGACAAGAGGGTGAGATGTTCTGCTGGTCACAATGTCCCCATACTTAAGCTATCTCCAACAGCTTGTGCTGCATTATATAAACCGGCAAACCCAGTGATGTGGAGTCATTGAGACCTTGCGCAAGGAAGACTTGTAAACCCAACCTTGCTGTTGAAGGTTGCAAATGGCAACTTGCTGCATGGATTCTGATCCAGCAGCATTTCAACCTTCGGCACTGGCAGTAGAATTGGCACTCCGTGACTCCTGACAGAATATGATACCAAATTGCAAAAAGCGAGGGAGTCCCTCGAGAGATGTCGAATTGTTGTGGTTCCGTGCAGTACAAAAAGACACTCTGTTTTCCAGTACAAGACTTAAAGCCAGCTGACATTTATTGCCTTTTCCCCGTGTTTCCTCGCTTGCACTTGATGCATGGAACCATCATGATCTGTTGCTTTGTGTGACACATGAGACGTAATTCATAATGTAGTCGCAGCAACATCCATATCTCATATCACCCAAGGATGGAAGCTATAACATGTGTGACCTGCTCCTAATTGGACATTTAGTTTCGAACTAACCAGGGCATTTCGTGCCAGAATGACCTGGCCATTTTTATTTCAACGAATGATTGACTTTGGTTCAGGGCAAAACAAAATTCAAGATAAGTCTGCTCTGCTGACGCACCTTCTGTGCGTGGATGGAATTCGCAACTCATCTGTTGCACCCAGGCATCAAAAACGAGAAAAGCAAACGAAGCATTCGGGCTTTAGACTTTAGAATCTGCAACCTTGAAATACTGATCATTTGCCATCCTACATTCTTGGAACCTTGCAACTTTTAGACACAAAACTCGGCGCATGGGCCAAGCTTGAATGATGTATTCAACATGGATGAAAAAAACACACAAGGCGGCAAACATGTAGGTTTCAACACGGTAGCGAAAACCGAAGGTTCAACATGGTGCGATGCAAAGCCATGACGAAGCCCATCAGGATGCAAAGCCATCCTAAAATCATCATCAAGCAGTGGATCCAGCGGGAGCCGGTGCAAACAATGGGTGCAAACAGTGGGTGCCATCTCTGTGCTCGGTACATCTTAGTGCCATGAGATCCGGTGCGGCGTCGACCTGGCAAGCCCAGGCCGTGTCCCCGACCTGGACCGGACTGCTTTGCAGTCGAGCCCCCGCTTTGAAAACGCGGCCCAGCTCTTGCGCTGTGGCTTCAGTCGATCCCAGGAACTGCAACGGGCAGAGATGTCGACCTTTAGGAAAAAACACGATCATTCCGGGGAAAACCATGGAACACCAAAAAGAACAGGATCGAATTTCAACAGCTTCAACTCTAAGAGGCTCTTTGCATGCTGTCTCGGGTCATCTTCTATTCCCCTTTCAAAGTCGACCCTTGTCCCTGCCACTGGCCACTGGCCCAACCAATTTCAAGGCGTAACAGCAGCTTCATCGTTCGACTCAGGGGTTGGTATTTCTTCTGTGCCCCCACCTTGCCTGCAGCTCAACTGGAACAATTCAACATATTCAACATCCGATCATCTGTGCTAGATATTGATTGTGGCAATGTGGTACATAACATAACCGTCACATGTTGAACGAAGATGAACATACATCAACGGATCATAACAAATCAACTTTTCGAATATGATCCTTTCATATCCTTTCCATATAGTTTCGACTGCTTTGACACGCTGAAAGGCTGCTCCCTCCTTGAGCCCAGCTCGGTTTCAGGTTCAGCAAGGTGGCGACGCCTGGCGCGCCATGAATTCCCTCAGCGTTGTGTTTCGCACATTGTTTCAACAACACCCCTAAAAGCTTAAACAGCTCCCCCAACAGCCTCCTCATCTTGTGACAAACGTAGAAGAGCGGGATGCTACCGTAGGTCACCACAGCTCCATAAGGTTTCGGGAGCATCCTTGCCCAAGCCACATGAAAGCAATATGCGTACCTGCGCCGGCATAGCAGATTCCAAAGGAGAAATTGTGATTAACTGATTAACCCGGGTGGTGATTCTTGGATGACTTCATTGTGAGGGATTGCGGATTGCCCATGGTATATATGGTATTGAATGATCCCCAACAACATCGCAACAGGAATCTCTCACAGGTGGGAAACCTCTAGCAATGCCACTTCTGTTTTCACCTCCAAGCTATGGACTGAAGGCAGAGGTATTAGATGCGGCTGATACGATATGATGCCAATCGATACCTTCTAAGCAAAACCTCTGTGTATGCCAAGCTACAGCGACCACAGGTTCATCCAAGGTGTAATACCATGTGGGTCATCTGCACGGAAAGCGCCAGTGACCAAGCCAATAACAAGAACCTTAGTCCACACGATGCTCTTTCAGTAATCAGATAGCAGATTGGTTGATCGTAGGTCCAGTGCCTGTCATGAAAGGAAGGACAACCTCTTGCGCACCGATCCGTTGCTTTGAAACCAAAGATACATATATATATATAGTTGTTTCCAAGCACTGCTTCTGTGGTGTGGCAACAAGTAAGAATGCCTAGCTCATAGTGCAAGAAACACGCATGGGTACAGGCATGGCAAAGTCAAATCACAAAACAGGATTAAACAGCTCTGGCGTTTGAAACCGAAGGATGCCGCTAAAGTTTCCTCATGTCTACGTCCACCTCGAGAACAGCATCACAGAACCCACCAAAGTATGTGTTTATTCTCCTACCGTGAGTCTTACGACTGCAGCCCAGAGACCCTACTGGTGACAACCACATCAACCAATGAACACGACGATGATCGATGACAAATCTGAAAATATGAGCATGATCGCGATTACAAATTGTCCAACGGTGATGTTGACACTGATGCTGATAATGAGGAGGAGAGGAGGCGAATGAGGATGATGATGAGTATAAGGATGAGGAAGAGGACGAGGATGAGGATGCGGAGGATGAGGATGAGAAGGATGAGAAGGATGAAGGATGATGAGGGGAATGAGAATGATGAGGATGATGAGGATGATGAGGATGATGAGGATGATGATGATTTTCAGGATTATCAGGATGAAGAGAATGAGGATGATGAGGATGAGGATGATGATGATGATGAGGAGGAGGAGGATGATGATGATGATGCTGAGGGTGATGAGGATGATGAGGATGATGAGAATAATAAGGGTGATGATGCTGATGATGGCAATGGCAATGGTGATGGTGATGGTGATGATTATTTTCTTTTATTATTATCAGTATTACTATTATTATTATTAACTATTATTAATAATATTAATATGATGATGATGATGATGATGACGATGACGCGGATGGGGATGATGGAATGGGGAGGATGAGGAGAATAAGGATGACCAGGATGAGGAGGAGGATGAGGATGAGGATGATGAGGATGATGTTGGGGAGGAGGAGGAGGAGGAGGATGACGATGATGATGATAAGGATGAGGATGCGGATGATGAGGATGATGAGGATGATGAGGATGATGAAGATGATGAAGATTGCGGGAATAATGAGGATTTTGAGGATTAGGCGGATGAGGAGGATGAGGAGGAGGAGGATAAGGAGGATAAGGAGGATAAGGAGGATAAGGAGGATAAGGAGGATAAGGAGGATAAGGAGGATAAGGAGGATAAGGAGGATAAGGAGGATAAGGAGGATAAGGAGGATAAGGAGGATAAGGAGATAAGGAGGAGGAGCAGGAGGATGGGAAGGAGGAGGAGGAGGATGAAGATGTTCAGGGTGCTCAGGATGATCAGGATGATGAGGATGATGAGGATTATGAGGGAGAGTGGATGATAAGGATATGATGATGATGACGATGATGATGATGATGATGGTGATGGTGATGGCGATGGTGATGGTGATGATAATGGCGATGACGATGATGACGATGATGATGATGATGGTGGTGGTGATGATGATGATACGGATTATAGGGATAATGATGGTGATGGTAAGAAAGAGGAGGATGAGGAGAATGAGGATGATGAGGATGATGAGAAGGATGATGATGATGATGATGACGATGATGATGATGATGATGATAATGAAGGGGGTGATGAGGAGGAGGAGGAGGAGCAGGAGGAGGAGGAGGATGGTGAAGATGAGGAGGGTGAGGAGAAAGAGGATGATCAGGATGAGGAGGGTGATGATGAGGAGGAGAATCCGGATGAAAAGGATGGTGAGGGTGATGGGAATGATGAGGACGATGAACATGATGAGGATGAGGATGGTGATGATGATGATGATGATGAAGCTGATGAGGATGCGGATGATGATGAGGATGATGAAGATGAAAATAATGAGGAGGAGGAGGAGGAGGAGGATGAGGACAATGAGGATAATGAGGCTAATTAGGATAATGAGGATAATGAGACTAAGGATAAGGATGATATGGATGATGTGGATGATGTGGGTGATGTGGATGAAGTGGATGATGTGGATGATGTGGGTGATGAGGAGGAGGAGGAGGAGGAGGAGCAGGATGAGGAGAAAAACGATGATGAGGATGATGAGGATGATGAGGAGAAAGAGGATGATGATGATAATGAGGAGGATGATGAGGAGAAGGATGAGGATGATGAGGATGATGAGGATGAGGATGATAAGGATGAGGATGATGAGGATGAGGATGATGAGGATGAGGATAAGGATGAGGAGGACGAGGATAAGGATGATGAGGATGAGAATTAGGAGGATGATGATAAGCATGATCAGGAGGATGATGAGGAGGATGAGGATGATGAGGATGAGGTTGATGAGGATGAAGAGGATTACGAGGAAATGAGGATGATGAGGATGAGGATGATGAGGATGAGGATGATGAGGATGAGAATGATAAGGATGAGGATGATGAGGATGAGGATGAGGTTGATGAGGGTGAGGATGAGGATAAGGATGAGGATGACGAGGATAAGGATGATGAGGATGATGAGGATGAGGATGAGGAGGATGAGGAGGATGATGATAAGCATGATCAGGAGGATGATGAGGAGGAGTGTGAGGAGGAGGATGATGAGGATGATGAGGAGGACGAGGAGGAGGATGAGGATGATGAGGATGAGGATGATGAGGATGAGGATGATGAGGATGAGGAAGAGGATGATGAGGATGAGGATAAGGATGAGGATGACGAGGATAAGGATGATGAGGATGATGAGGATGAGGATGAGGAGGATGATGATAAGCATGATCAGGAGGATGATGATAAGCATGATCAGGAGGATGATGAGGAGTAGGATGAGGATGATGAGGATGAGGAGGATGAGGATGATAAGGATGAGGATGATGAGGATGAGGATGATGAGGATGAGGATAAGGATGAGGATGACGAGGATAAGGATGATGAGGATGAGGATGAGGAGGATGATGATAAGCATGATCAGGAGGATGACGAGGAGGAGGATGAGGATGATGATGATGAGGATGATGAGGATGATGAGGATTACGAGGATGATGAGGATGATAAGGATGAGGATGATGAGGATGATAAGGATGAGGTTGATGAGGATGAGGATGATGAGGATGAGGATAAGGATGAGGATAAGGATGAGGATGACGAGGATAAGGATGAGGATGATGAGGATGAGGAGGATGATAAGCATGATCAGGAGGATGATGAGGAGGAGGATGAGGATGATGAGGATGATGAGGATGATGAGGATAAGGATGAGGATGATGAGGATGAGGATGACGAGGATGAGGATAAGGATGAGGATGACGAGGATAAGGATGATGAGGATGAGGATGAGGAGGATGATGATAAGCATGATCAGGAGGATGATGAGGAGGAGGATGAGGATGATGAGGATGAGGAGGATGAGGATGATAAGGATGAGGATGATGAGGATGAGGATGATGAGGATGAGGATAAGGATGAGGATGATGAGGATAAGGATGATGAGGATGAGGATGAGGAGGATGATGATAAGCATGATCAGGAGGATGATGATGAGGAGGATGAGGATGATGAGGATGAGGATGATGAGGATGATGAGGATTACGAGGATGATGAGGATGACGAGGATTATGAGGATGATGAGGATGATGAGGTCAACGGCGACGACCACCATGACGACTACGAAGATCGCGATGACGTCATGCTCTTGATTTTCTGGTTGGTGCTTTTCGCCGCTGGTGCGGTGGTGCTTTGTTAATAAGGTCAGACTGTGATCATTGGTATGATCTCCATTGCTTGAATATTCCAGTTAGCTACCCAAAAGGCTAGAACCAGTTTCATGATCTTTTGCGTTGTTTCCCAATGAGATCTGATCGCCGTCTTAAAATCACACTTCCCCCTGATGCTGATGCTCATTCAGCTCTCCTACATTGATAGCTTGGTCCCTTAGAACCGTCTACGTTTGCAGAACAGGCTTGATGCAGTTCAAGCCTCTGCCTCCACGAAGCGAAAGCGAGATCGCTCCCAGGTAGTGTGCATGGGATGCAGATCACAGCGTCCGCTGACTTGTGGCATGCTGCAAAGCAGAATGACCTGAAATGTGCACTTGCTCCTTCGTTGGAGTCACACATCTGTCAAGCAAGAGTAAGAAAGGTAAGCCATTTGGCAAATTCCCAGACTTGATACAGAGTTGTCTTGCCAAGAGGAAGGACAGTGCGAACAGAAAGTGAATTTTCACGATTTGCCTTCCTTTTTAAGTGACAAGTTCTTACGTCAGTTTGTAAAAGAGATTTCAATTGATTTCAAGCTGGTCTCCTGACTTTGCTGATTTCACTTTCACATGGCACTCTCAGACCTCTCAGATTGTCGTCCAAGAGGCCGCAAGAACCACTGGCCAATAGCTTCGAAGGTTCGATGCCTGAGCTCCACACCCACGAGTCCAACAAGTGCTACCTACCTTGCAATGCCTTTGAATGGCTTGATAACATTTGATAACAATCAAATCCTGTACCAAAATGCACCAAACTGATCCTGATATATCCTGAGCCTCACTTCAAGAATCACTCTGAAGTAGCTTGCCCTGAAAAACAGATATGTGCAGGACTCCATGCGAAAGCTTTGTGCGGGAAAGTTGCAATCTGTGTTTTGTATTTCAGTGGCCACTCGTACGTAACCTTGCTACCAAATCAGGCGCAAATCCGCGACAGGTATGAAGCAAACCACAAATGACAAATCTCAACATCCAGAGCTTCTCCAAATCATGCAATACATCTAGACGTAGAAACCTTGAAAAAAAACTCGATATGATTCAAGTTTCAACCATTGCTAGCTAAAGCCCAAAAATCCAAGCAATGTGAATCTTTGAATCTTCTCGCCAAGATGCCATGCCTATGAGGAAAAGATCAGGACTCAGCGGATGCCCACCCTTGTTGTAGGGAATCATGGCATGAGTAGCGTAGCTGAGCAGAATTAAGATCCAGCCGGCCTGGCAGTCTTGACGGCAAATGCACAAACTCGGTACAAACTTTTGTGTGGCTCTGCCGGCTGGTCTTGTTCAAATCTTCGAATAATTCTAGTAATCCGTCAAATCAGGTCCCAGGATCACTTAAGCCGACATTTTGGATCACTTAAGCCGACCATCTTGGATGTGGATTCACACCTTTACGGTTTATCTTTAGGGGTGGGGACGGGGGACAGGGGACAAGGGACAATGGAATCTTTGAGGAGTACAGGACAAACCTGGCTTTATTGGGGCTCAACGAAGATTTCATCATACATATAAATTGTTCACCATGGCACCAGCCTGGCAAACCTTCCTGTCTATGGGCGGCAAACGGCACAGCTACATTTATATAACAATAGATCTGTGACGTGGGCTCAGCGAGCCCAAAACGTAGGCTCTAGCGAGGTACTGACCATCAAATCACATACCTTACTGACTTGTTTGGCGACATCCAACCTCTCGTCGAAATTTCTTGGTCATGTGATCATTCTACGAATTGTGAAGGCCCGCGATGTTTCCTTCGAAAGGTGGAAACCATCTGCCTTTCGACTCGAAGAATATGTGTTGTCGTTTGTATGCGGGGAAGTTCTGCGTTGATTGCCAAGGCCCCTCTCCACATGTCTCATCTTTACCAACAGGAGTTTGTCTGTCGTATCTCCCTGGTGCATTGCGCTCAGTTGCCTGATCTTCAAATTGTGGAGTAAAATTATTTGCTGCGAGCGCAATCAATTGTAAAAACCTTTCCCGAGAAGTAGGCGTTGATCAAAATATATCAAAATATCATAGAGTCATAGAATATCACCCATATGACTGACTACCCTTATTGGCAGGGCCACTTTAGGCCACTTGGCCTTTGGTTCCAAGAACCAAGGCCACCTTGTGCCAAGTCACAGAGCTGCAATAGCCCCAGCAGGCAGTGAGCGATACCAAAAAGAAAAGGCCAAAGGTCCGAGAGAGGAACATCGGCGCCTTGCAACAAATGAAAACTGCCGAAAGTGCACCAAAACTGCACTGTTCAAGGATAGTCAGACAGTCCCACCAACATTGCAACAGCGAGTCAAGATGCCATCTGAATGCGTCAAGTCTGCCTGACTACTTTGGAGAAAGGAGAATGCCAGCAACCGCTCTGGCATCGTCTTTTTTGTACTAAGAGAGTCACAGGACAGCTGACTGACCAAGGAAAACAGAAGCTTTCGGAATGTGAAACAAGAGAAGCAGCAACTCGAGCAAACGGTTAGAGTTAGAATACTCCATTGGCCATACTTGGAAAGTAAATCGATGGGATAAGCCCGCCACCTTTTACAGCAACTTGGGGTGCGGATAACACGAACCACCGAGACCAAAGATTTCCAAAGTGTCCAAAGTGTCAATCCCGCCAAATCAACCAAGGTGCTTCGAGGATCACTGTTGCTCCACCAGCACCAGATTGCTGAGCAGGCAGGAAAGTGACACTTGGACTCGTACTGGGCATAGAGAATTGCATTGCAAACTACACAGTTTCAAGAAACAAAATCCTTGAATGATTTTGCAAGTGGTTTCATTGCAAACTTCAAAACACACAAGTAGCGATAATCCCAGTTTGCACAACAGTACACAATCAAAATGGTAGATCTGGTTCCTGATACTCAGCTGAGCAATACTGACAATAGTTGTGCTGCTTTTGGCTGTACACTTCCTTCCGGTTTATGCCATGCATTAGGATTTTCTTCCCCTGCAGCTCTGCTGCGCGCAAGGACTCCCCGTCCGTGATGAAGCTGAAGCCTGCGGAAACTGGAGCGGATGTGAACCATCTTGAAATTGCTCTAGTCCTCTGGCATGTAAGCTATGTGTAAGTAGTGACGTATAGTAATGTGATGTGCACGGGAAGTCTTGGCAACGCCAAAGATGCTCTTTCTTTGACTGCTTGGCGACAACCGAATAAAATTTCCACAGGATAAGCGTCTGTAAGTTTCAAGAATGGCACAGTGTTTCTTTTTTTGCTTTCAGCAGTTCAGCACTAGCAGAGCATCTTGGGACAGTCTGACATGAAGCCCCTTGACATCCTGTTTGATCATGTCTGGAATTCGTGTCAGTGATTTGATCATCCTTTTATCCTAAACAGTACCCCAAATGAGTTTTCGTGGTGGGAGTAGAGCTGCAAGCAGCGGTGCTCTATCAATGTGCTCACCGTGCACTGTGACACTTTAGCAGCTCGGCTCGCAAAAGCTGGTTCCAAATCTTCACAGAGAACTTCCAGGGATCCAACTGAGATCATTGATCAGCTAGATTTTTTTAGTGCTGGGATGTGCTGGGATGTGCTGGGATGTGCTGGGCATATAGATTCCATTTCCTTTCTGCACTTATAGACACATCTTTCCTGGTTTCATGGTCGCCCTTCTTTCCTGTGACCTAGACTGCTTCAGGGCCCTGTCAGTCTCCAAAACACGTAAATGGGTGACTGACCGAACTGTAGTAAGAAAGTGATTGATATTATTGAGTCGCCCCAACTGGAGAATCCAAAGAATTCGTTTCTGATTTCAAAAGCTGTGTATGAAAGTCAGGCTGCATAATTACTGTTGAAGAACAGACACTCTCCACAAGCTGAGGCGAGCCCACCTCCTACGAAGAGTACCAAAGACGCTGTTGCCAAAAGGCCGTAAACCGCTGCAATCATTCCTCACCATGCAAAGATCAGATTTCCAATGCAAGGTAGAACTATATATGTATATAACTATTTTGAATGAAGGCAAGAAACCTGATGCAAATATCAAGCAAAGAATTCTTAAGACAAATTTCTCTACCCTGATTTTAGGATCAGGTCAGGATTTTTGCAGAGGTATCCAGAAGCAATTCAATTCCTGGTTTAGGCCGCTTAGGCACTGAGCCGCCATGGAGTTGCAGCGCAGGGGTTCTCAGCTCTCCACTTCAAGACCTGTCTTTGGTGACGGCAGCATTTACCTGTGACATACGTATATACACAGCCACACACGTGCACACACACACACTTGCTCAGAACTGTCATTGCGAATTATGTTGTGGGATGCATCTTACGTGCAAAACACTTCCATTACACCTGACAGGAATGGGTCGTTGAAGGGACCCGAGAAAAAATTATGGAGCAATCATCGCCATAGCCAGTGGGGTTGCATCATCGTTTTGAGTTGCGCCAACACTCACCCGATTCAAACAGAGATGGAAAAATTAAAATTGAAATGACATGAAATGAAATTGTCCAGTGAGGGTTCTCGGCTTAGCCCTCTTGCCATTCACACGCACTGATTGCGAAATAATGGAACTTGAATGGAAGCAAGCCCTGAAGAACAGGTGATCACAACTGTGCAGGTACGCCAGACTGGCCAAATCTGGTATCACCGTCTATGGTAAGTGTCTTCCTTGGCAGGAGACTTACCATGATGCTCCTGCCCCCTGCGGATTCAAAATGAAATTGACGTGACTCGAAACCTAGAAGCTTGAAATCACAGGTTAGAAGTTTTACATCTCTTCAGAAGGTGAAGATGAAAGGGAAATGGAAGTGAGGTGACGATGAGACTGAGATACAGTTACTTAACAAGGATACGAGGAGGGGAACGCAAAAGAAAAGGGAAGGAGAAAACACTAACACAAACATACCTGGCCCAGAGCGGGCAAACCCTAAAAAGGCAAGAAAAGAAAAAACGGAGGCCGACGGAAACGGAACAAGACCAGCGGAGGTGGGGGAAGACGGAAGCGCCTAAACCAACCTACCACAGCAAAACCTAACTAAGCCTACCTAAGCACGCACAGGACCCAACCTACCTATAGAGAGGGGCACGCATGAAATAGGGGATCAATGGGGGCTAGTTGGTGAAAAGATGCATCCATCAACCTTTGCAAAGGTTCGTGATCAGGCTCAAGGGCCCTCCAATTTCAAGTCACAACCCTCTGAACGGCTTAAGTGTTCAACCCTTTGAATTGGTGCACAACTAAACCTCACCAGAGACCATGAAGAGAAAAATACCACACCTAAAGTCATGAACCTGCCTGGATTGCATCATGACTGCACTGTCAAATGCTTGAATGTTCATGAGTACCGTACTCTCTTGGGCAAAGCTGAAAAATGGTGAAGCCAGGCACAGCGGCAAGTTGTTGAACCAATCGACAATCGACGATTGAGCCCCGAAAGATGGCCAGCGTGTTGTGTGTGTGTGTGCTGTCTGTGTCTGCCTGAATGTGTATGTCTGTCGTGTACTGTGATGCAATTATATGTTATATGATTGAATCAGCGTATGTGTATACAAATATATATATATAATATGTACAATCCTAGTTTCAAGAAGTGCATGTGTATGTGTATGAGTGGATATGCACCCTTTCAAACTATATCTACATAACGTGCGGCCAGGGGGGAAGGTGCAAAAGCTAGCTGGCTGGGATAAGCATGTAGACGTCCAAATGTTGAAAGTGTGAAATGATGCGAGTGACCATATTATATTAGAACAATGTGCTTATTCATGTGCTGCCAATATATAAATAGTTGAAGAGAAACTAGAACATGGGTAGAAAAAATCGGAAGCCGAAGATCAATGTTTTTTGGGTTCAATGCGTAGACAGAGAATGGGTGCACAGGAGCAAAAGGATAGAAAAAAAGAAAAGAGAAAGAATGAGAGATGAGTGACAAGAATATGGTGAGAAATTTGCCACCAAAACAAAAGCCCAAGATCAATGCTCGGTTCGATGCATAGACTCATAGACAAAGAATGGGTATATGGGTATACAGAAGGAAAGAGACAAATAATGAGAGAGAAAGAAATTTGGAATAAAGGATGTGAGCATAACAATCATTACATGATGTTTTCTATCGAACCCCCGACCGCCAAGGAGGGGAGGGGGGGTATATTCCGGGTATATAACCTTGAAGCGTTCAAGGGATTCCGTCCCCCATGTCCCAGCTAGCTCTCGTGATATCAGGTACAACTCATGCAGTTTCATGATTCAGCTGCCGCTGAATACAGTTTGATGGTACCCAATGGGCTGCAGGGTGCCACTTCCACGTTGTTGCTACAGTTCATCAGACCCGCCTCCTTGATTGGCACGACGAGGGCACTGACTATCATGATTACTGCCACGTAAGCCATCCTCAGTTCACTTTACACGGTGCAAACTTTATTAAATCGATGGCTGTGTGGATACTATCGTAGAAGCCATTTGAATGACATCGTAGAGTCGTAGAACTTCAATGTCGGTTTCATCAATTCCGCTCTCAAGCGCAAGAGTCCCCACGAAGGCAACAGGAGTCAGAGACAAGCAAAGGAATCAAAGGAATCAAAGAATACCGAGCCACTGATACATGGTCCACCCTGGGCGTGCCACCGGGTCTTTCCCATTCACCATCTCGGCAACTGCATTTGCAGTTGTCCCAATAGCAAGAACCAAGAAAAGGCCTGAGCTGACAAGCACTCTGCCAACTCTGCCTTCAATTGTGCCCGATCTCCCTGATTTGTTCGGTTTACTCTATCGTGACCATCTACTCATCGCCTGTTGCGAATCCTGACGTTCACCGAAGGTAGGATAAAACATCTTGCAACAATGAATCTGTCCGTTTCATGAAGCGTCTACGGAGGACATTGGGGCTGCACAGTTGATCACGAATCTTCCACAACTTGATAGAATCACCAACATCTAAACGATCACCTTCAATGCCTCTACAAACTGCATCTATTTCAACGACCTAGTGCTGGTGTTCCTAAAATCTCTGTCCCCTGTGCTGCCCCAGGGACGAAACTCGTATTTGAGAATGCCGGTTTTGGACAGCATGAAAGCAATACCTTGCCAGTGCAAGGCAAGTTCAGTATGTCTGGATGTCCGTGCGCGAGGGCAAACCCACTGACCAAGGGGACTGCCACCGCTTCTGACAAGCCAGAGACTTTGGCATCGGTCTGCAAGCAAACCTGCAATAAGAGTAGCCAAGCGTCCACTGACGACATAAAGGAAAGGCACCACCCACCTCGTGCCGAGCGCCATGCCAGTGGTGCGACTCCAGGGGAGCTGGGCCACTTGACTACCCACACATATCCAGGTGCGCAATTTCAAAATCTTCTGCTGCATCACTTGAATGAAAGGATATTGTCGGTACTGAATAGACTAGGCACCATGGGATTTAGTTCTCACAAAAGACAAGCATCTTTCTGCTTGCAGCACAGTGCATCACAAGGTGCACAGCTGGATGGCATTCCCGTCCTCTTTCTAGACAGACAAGCCACTGCTGCACCCACATAACGTTTCGATCGGAAAAAAGTTCACCGCCGGAATGCTCGGACACCACACAGGCGACCTTATCTGGCAGTTTCAGCAAAAGAAAAATCACCTTGACAAGATTCCATGGACATGGATGGAAAGAGAGGAAACAAGGTCTGATCCGGAGTGAAGTGTCTTCTTGAGCACTGCCCCCTTGGTTTATCAAAGAAGTTCCTGAAAACTAAAACCCCAGCTACAGCCTGTACCGTGCCAAAGGAAAGCAGTGGATTCATGTTGAAAGCTACTTTGAATACGTTCTTATAGCTGGCCAAGTTGCGCAAAGAATGCGAGCATAGTCCAGATACCACATGCGTTCCCTCGGTTTCCTTCCTTGAACTCCGTTTCCATCCTTGGTGATGTGAGTTTAGAGACGCCCCAGTGCAATGGGGACACCTGTCTTTCATGTTCAGACCCTGATACCACAAAACCAGCTGCGTTCCTGCCCTGACCAACACAAAGGATGGCAGGCAAGGATGGGAGGTGAACCATGACGAAATGCACAAGGAAAAAAAAAACGCCAACTACCCGAACTTGCTAACCTTTGATTGTGGTGCGTCAAACACCTGTCCAGCCGAGATGCTGCTTTGTTTGCACTCTGTACATCCTGAGACGATCAGCAGCCCACCATTGTGACATGTCATGAAATCGCTCTTATGGAGCTTGGATGAGCTTGGCCTGCTTCAAAGAATTCCTTGACGAAAACGTTGCTGATCGGATTGTCGAGCATCGGCATAGTCTTCGCGATCGCCATCAATCGTCATCCGTAGTGCTAGTGCGCCGATGGTCAAGAGCAAGGGGATAGTAACCCGAGAAAAAACAGACCTAGGGCAAAAAGTTGGAGCTTCTGTCCAGTCCCAGAGCTGTTCAATCGAAACAAAGGCTGCTAGGGCTGCTGGGGAAACACTGGAACTGGAACTTACTTTTGACTGAGAGTACTGTACAAACAAATCTGAACAAAAGCTGGATGTGGAAGATTTGCTAGGCTGTTGAATGCATCAATGGCCATGTCAGGAACCTAAATTGGAGGTACCTACCATATATATATATATATAGCCTATATAAGGCCTATGTAAGGGAATATACCAGCAAAATATGGCCTTATATGGTATAGAACTTCCATTTTAGAATCCTGAAATTCCCATTGTATGCAGGCAGTACCTTAAAGTATCATCTGTGATAAACAATTCCCCTTCATTGTGGCTTTTTGGCACCATTGGTGGAGCTACATACAGCTTAGCAAGGAGCCTGACACTAGAGGAAAATGTTGTGTCATGTCAAGTTTTGCCATATATGAGTATTCATCTTGAAGTTGTCTTTGAGATTAAAGCAGGCATATACTAGTGAAAGAAATCAAAATCATGCGTTCGAAACAAGTCCCCACATCTTCACTGTCCCGGGCCTTGAATCATTGTCAAGGTCGCCGCATCCACAACGTCTGGTAGCTGTTCGGTAAAGGCCGTCAGGGTCCGCGTCATTCACGATTTCCCATTTCTCGCAATGTGCTTGCATGCTTTCAAACAGTCAAAACAGACTCAAACATGACTCTGCCACTTTCGTCACTTTGAGCACTTTTGTCACTTTCTCACCTGCTCTGTCCCGTCCCCTTTGCAACATTCCTCGTCGATGTGCGGTATGTCTTGCCTTTTCTTTCTCCTTCTTCCAATGCCAGCACTGTTCCGTGTGGAAAAGACTTCTAGGGTTTCACTGCTATCTTTTATATAATAATCTTGGAGCCTGCATACTAATTCCTGCTTTTCCAGGCTCTGCATGACACACAGAACACGGCTGTGGCTGCTGATTAAAGATTGATGAAGCCAATACCCGCCCCGCCTGACATATGTTCGGATGGAAGTTCTCCATTGCTCAAGGCGCTGAAATCTGACTGGTTGTTCTAAATCTTGACTTGACTGCATAGTTTTGTCTCCAGTTGTTGTAAAATGCTTCATTGCCGTCTGATCAATTCAGGGGAGGGAGACAAGCAGTCTTCGGCCGTTCAAACAAAACTAGACTACCCCCTTTCTGCTAGCGTTGAAGCTGGGCTCAATAGCAGCAGTGGAAACGGATGCTCTCTTCTCAGCACAAGTGCTGTCTGAAGAGGAAGCCATGAATAAAGGCGAGTAGGGAAGCTTAAGAAAATACGCATTGCATAGTCTATGTGCATATTCTACATAATATGTGCATTTGTATATATATATATATATTATACACATAATATAGATATAGATGCGGATATAGACATAGAATAGTTATCGACTCTATAAATATATAGACAAAGACATAGATATTATAGACTATATGACTACATAGGCATAGACAAAGACATAGATATTAGATATATATAGACACATATAAATATGTATATTGAATTATAGTGATATATATATATAGTTTGTATATGCATATATATATATAGAGAGAGAGAGAGAATCAATATGAATAAATATATCCATCTCTAATATACTGTACTTCTCTAGCATTTTTGTTGAGCCCTCTCCTCTTGCCTTTCATGTTTTGCCAATCGTCCGTTTAAACTCTACAAGCGAAAGCTGTCCACCCTTCAAAAGGGCACTCAAACTATCCCTTTGACGGCTCAGCGCCTGAAGGGAGTTCATCCCACTGCCTGTCATCTTTTATGAACAGTTCAGACACTGAATTTCTACTGCTGACTATGATCTTGTGACATTTGCTTCAATGCTGCTCAATGTGCACTTTGGTAAGAATGAAGGTTTCCAACCTTCTCCTTGTCCTGTTGCCCGGAAGTCCAGATCGAATTGGACCAGGGAACTTCGCTGATGAATGTTAGGTTCTTTGCGTCACGCTCACTGTTGCCACTACAACTGCATGCCACTGCCAGTCTATGTCTTTGCATCTGTTTTGAAAGGAAGAGTGGCACGAGCATTGCTGCTGAGAATGGCCAGCTGGTCTGTGTATCTTTCAAGTGGCAGGTTCAATCCAAGCATGAAGCGACTCATTGGTCGGATGGAGTACTGTCAGTTTTCATGTCAGAGTTGCTTGAAATGATGCTTGCACCATGGCAGCTTGCAGATTTCCCTGTGGGATTACCTGGTCGAGTCGAATAAGCCATGAAGCAGGGCACGTCCCAAGTCGCTACACCAAACATGCACACTTTGCATATCAAAGACTCCATCTACACGAAACATCGAACAAATCAAGCAACAAAAGCTGCGCAGTCCCTCATGCTGAAGCATCCTTAAAAATTTTTAAAAGCTCTTTTTTTCGATTTTTTGGGGCATTTGTTTGAACGTCTAGAACCGGGCCGGTCTCTGGAAGCTCCGTGAAAGTGCTTAGCTGGAGATGGCTGGAGATGGCCGGAGATGGAGGCCCTTGCGGCCTTGCGGCCTTGCCTTTAGTGCCACGGTCTTCCACGGAGAACGACTCGAGTGAGACACCAGAACTGAACGCGTACGCGGTATGTACGTGCCAGCTTTCCATCCGTTGGGCTGACCTTGGCCTCCAAGCAAGAAAACAAAACGAAACTAGCAATCTTATGCAATCTTGGAATATCGAGACTTCGGAGACTTAAACAGATTGAACTCTCTGGCCATGCCCTTCGAATTGCGACTACAAAATAGCTCACCAAGCAACCTATTTGCCTGCAGGCTACTCACGCCACCGAAGCGACTTCCCTCTCCCAACAAGACAACAAGCAAAGCTCAATATGAACACAAACCAAGCAAGGAAGAAAGGGCAGCAATAGAATAGACATGAATAGACTAATCCAAAGAATCGCCCATGTCAACCAAACCAAAGAAATTTGAATTGATACTGCCCCGCGTTCAAACAGGCTCCTCTTGAAACTGCTCTTCATGCAGAACTGCCAGGCCATTCCCGCACAAGGTCAAAGGATTAGAGCATTTTGAGCATTTTTGATGGCTTGACATGGCATGACATGGCGTGACCAAAACTTGGCTAAGACTTGGCCAATGGCTTCGCGAGGAAACTGGCAGAAGCTCTGAAAAGCCGGGGAGCAACACGAGCAACTCTGCAATTGAAATCTGTTGGGTATCAGGAAGAAGCGCTGCAGCAAATGGTGCTCAGCAATTGAGCTCCTTGGCGAAGGCGGCGAAGTGGCAGAGACTCTGCCTTTATGATAAGTGGTTCAGTGGTTCAGTGGTTCAGTTTAACCGAAATCTAGGCCCAAGCTAGGATTCCAATATTGGGGAAAAACTGCTTGCTACCAAACTGGGCATCCCCACAGCTGGATTCCGACCTCGGATTTTCAGCAATTGCTCCAGCTGGATAGAAGGCGCCAAGTCGTCAATTTTTTTCTGTGTCCACTAAGCATTGAGAGACAGAAAGAGCAAAGCAACTTGATCCCACTGTATTTGCAAACTATTGCAAATGACAACACTGTGGAACTAAGATGGACGCCTGCCCGGTGGAAAGAACACATTGTTGCATTTTTAACCTCATGGTCCAAAATCCCACTGAACAAACTTGGTTAACGGTTAACGTCAGTTGACATGGAAATTGGAAATTGCCAGAGCTGATTGCCTTGGATGTCTCTTGTCAGGCAGAATCGTTCGCATTTTTGACCTCTCATACAAAGGTTCCAAGGTCCTGTGTATTCCACTGATCTGACTCCATTCTTCTTGGCATAAGAAATGCAGAAAATGATCTCGCATCATGATTTTGACCTACTACGGTTACCAAAGCAATCCCATCTGCACACAACACAAACTGCTGGGCACCAAACACCACTTCTAACTTCCAAGCGGTGGGAACTCCGCCTGAGTTGGACAGCAAAAGGGGTCACATCAGGCGGTTGGCACGGTTCCACATGCCAAACCGGCCCGACTCCTCGTGATTGCACGTCATTATTTCATATGATTTCTACATGTTAGTTGAACATGATCTCCAGGGCATTGGCCCACATGGCGGCTGCTTGCTTGTTTGTTCCGCAAGCCGCACCTCAGCAGTGTGCCGTGGGTAGGACACCGCGGGTCTTCTGCACTTGAGTGTTGTGAATTTGTGCAATATCAAATATGATGGATGGATGAATGGATGGATGGCTGGCTGGATGGACTGACCGACGGATGGACGGATGGATGGATGGATGTTTGAGCACATGTGGTGCGGTGCGCGACATGTAGAACACAATGTAGCCCAATGTAGCCCAATGCAATGCAATGCAATTAAATGTGTAAGTTGATCTGCTTTGATAAGGGGATATAGTGAAATCTAATGCAAAGTACTGTCTTGTCCTTGTGGCATGTGTACATGTATATTCATGTATCTTCAATGAATATGTAACTACAATCTACAGTGTACGGTGTGTACATGATTGTAGATGTATATGATTGTAGAATACTGTATGCATGACATTGATCATTGTGAATATGATATATGTATGTGATGAAATCTGCAGTGGTGTGAAAAGTTTGTATGCATATATGTGTGGGCGTGTGTGTGTGTGTGTGTTTGCCTGTGTTTGTAGATATATGTGTATAGGTATGTGTGCATATTATATGTTATATGTAATTTGTATATATGCTGCATACATATATATATATACACATACAGTATACATATATATATATATACATCTATATATATATATAGCTTTTCTAGATTTCATATATCAATTTACATTGAAGCACATATTCAAATTAAACATACACATATCAAAAAGTAAAGAGCATATACAATATCAATTTTCAATTCTTAATATGTTAGACAGATACTTTTTTCCATTTACCCACCATAAACATCCCGGCGGAAGGGAAACCGCGCGAGCGTTTTGATTGGTTGCTTCCAGGAGAGTCACAATCACCTGTAATTTACAATATAAAATGCTCTTCCGATCAGTTTGGATAACTGAATTTGGGTTAAAAAAAGTGGATGCAAAATCTATTGATTTTTAACAAATCCAGGTAAACATCATGTGCATCAGACGTGGATGCGCAGATCTTTTTTCACACTCTTCGTCGGCTCAGCGATCCATCAGTGTGGAAGCTGTCTTCGACAGCAAGTTGCCATTATGGCACTCATAACGCCACTGCCAGCAACGCAGGTATAGCATGACATCTTTGTTCTGCCCTGCCTTTGTCTGCAAATTGCTAGGCACAATTTTTTTAGCCAAATTCCACAGAGAGTCAATCTTCCCAGCAGCAGCAAGGATCTTAGCAGCGTAGCAACATGTAACGTAGTAAACAATCCCAGAGATCTTAGCAGCGTAGCAACATGTTACGTAGTAAACGATCCCAGAGATCTCAGCAGCGTAGCAACATGTCACGTAGTAAACGCTCCCAAGGATCTGAGCAGCGTAGCAACATGTAACGTAGTAAAAGATCCCAGAGATCTCAGCAGCGTAGCAACATGTCACGTAGTAAACGATCCCAAGGATCTCAGCAGCGTAGCAACATGTCACGAAGTAAACGATCCCAAGGATCTCAGCAGCGTAGCAACCTGTAACGTAGGAAACTATCTCAGAGATACCAGCAGCGTAGCAACATGTAACGTAGTAAAAGATCCCAGAGATCTTAGCAACATCGCAATATATCCTGTACGAAGTTTGAGGAACGTTAACATGCCCCCCCACCCCACCCCATCCCAACCCCAACCCACACTAACATGGCAATATATCCTGTACGAAGTACGAGGAACGTTAACATGCCCCCCCACCCCACCCCACCCCGACCCCAACCCACACTAGAGATCTCAGCAGCGTAGCAACACGTAACGTAGTAAAAGATCCCCGAGATCTTAGCAACATGGCAATATATCATGTACGAAGTACAAGGAACGTTAACATGCCCCCCCACCCCACCCCAACCCCAAGACAAAGAGCAATACTCAAAAAAGAAGCAAAACGCACGTACGGTTTTCCTGCCGTAGGCATAAACATGACCCCTTTTTCAATTTCCATTTAGCCCCTATTTTTGTACAGCGTTAGTTTTAGGGAGAGTGTATGTATGTATTGTATTGTATTGTAATGTATGGATGGATGCATGCATGCATGCACGCACGCACGCATGCATGCATTGATATATTTATGTATGTATGTATGTATGAATGTATGTATGTATGTATGTAGGTATGTATGTATGTGTATGTATGTGTATATATATATATATATAATTTTATATATATACGCACCATACCATACCATGCCATGCCATACCATACCATACCACACATATATGTGCTGTTGAAGTGGCATGTATACAGTGTACGTATGTGTGCGTTTGTCTGCGTTTCGGTTTCCATACAAGACACTTGAACACTTGACGATCAGGAGTGACGGCAACTTACAGTTCTCTTTTTGCTATTCGTACTCGCTAGTCCCATAAGCCTGCCTCACTGCCTTCATTAAAATTAAAAGCATTCAAAAGCTATATATCAGCATGTTGACGTCACTACATAAAGCATTTAAGGTAGGGGGAAGGATAAAGCTCGGATAAGGAAGGTAAATCCGTCGTCAGCATCTCTTCCCGGGATCCCAGCACTCCAACAACATTTGTTCATTTCGGAGTGTACACCTCGTCTGAAGAAAACAAAGCTAAGGCGAAGAGAAGGCGAATCTAAGGCGAATCTAGGGGTTCCATGGGGTTCCTGCAGATTGCAATCTGTGTATGAAATATATGAAATATATGAAATATATGAAATATTATGAAATGTGTGACATCCTGACATCCCCGCCTTGGACAGGCCCAGTGCGACCCGGAAGTCGGGTCGTCGTCCCTCAGACATGACGCACTCCAACGCTTTCAGAACCAAAAGGATCAGTTTGTTTGGCATCTGCGGCGTCTGCGTGTTCAAAGAAACGCACAATTACCACATCCCGACATCCATTGTTGTACCCTGTTGTACCCATGAACATTCATACATTAATCTAGAGCTCTCAGACCAATCGCACACACATAAACTGTCGTAAATGCAACAAATACTTTAGTGAAATGATAGTAGTGATAATTCAGTGATGGTGGTAACAGTAACTCCTGTGCCATCTACTATAATTTCTGATAACAGCCAGCATGACACAAATGTCTGAGAATCGCACTCGCCGGTACCATCTCAGCAATATGTTGAGATCATGGTCGAGAGATGTCGGGAGAGGATAGAGTAGATATGGATGTTCCCAGATGGTCCAAAATGATGTGATATTCAGCAAATGGGTACTGTTCAGGAGGAGTCTGAAGTGATTGAACTGGACACTCTGGAGTTTGCGCCTGCAGGTACTTTCTCAGTCTACAACATTTACTTTAACAGCACTGCAAGCTTGCTGTATCGGATTCTCCAGGGTTTATCAATCCATGGGCGAACACAATTTACAGCCATTGATCTATTTAAAATCCCATGACTGGTCTATATCATTTGAGTGTAATAATCAGAGAGCTCGGAGCTCCAACAACTTATCATGGCCGACATCCTCATGCTGCTCCCTCCTTTGAAGTTATTTCGAGATCAAGAAGTAGTTGTGCACATTATTTTACTCTTATGTTTTGCTAAGGCACTGTGCATCACAGTTTCTAGGCTCATAGGGTTTGGTCTCTCCACAGAAAACGGTGCTTGAGGATCCTGAGGCAATCACGTTCGCACTCCTTCGCTTTGTTGCCGGCACCCCGGCCACCACGTCCGGCGCCACCTCGGGTAGCCTGGACAATCAGGACCATTGCATGAATGGATCCCCATTTTACGCTATGTTTGGATATTTTGATATAAATTGGCCATGCTCTTGGTAGAGAGAAATACGACCACATCCGATGATTCATCCCGAACAAGTGATTCCATATTTGTCTTGTGCTTCCAAAGGGAGGAGTGTGTTCATCTGAATGCCCACATTTGCTGTGAGATCGAGAACGACCCCACTTAATATGTATGAAAAAGGCAGCACACGAACAGCATGGAACCCTGATTCCCAACTGCCAGGATCCTTGGTGCCAGCATTGGGTGCGACTTGGTGCTCTTTCACCTGTAAAGTTCCAGAACAATCAGAACACGAGTCTCGGAATCCGGAAGATTCTTTCACCCTGAGGGTTGAAACACAGGTAGCTTTCTCATAAGCTGAGCTTTCATGAAAGGACAAAAAGCGCTCCGCCCACCATAGCCCACTGCTCAATAGAGTCTAGATCCTGATCCTACAGCCAGCATCGAGCTAGGTTCCATTGTTTCTCTGAAATTCATGATTTGCACAAGTATCTTGACAATTCCTACTGGATTGCAGTCTACCCAGGCCTTCTGCTTAGTCGATTTCTTTGCGTCCATAATGACGAAATCGGCGAGCCTCATTCTGAACAATTCTGAACAACTGAAGAACTAGGGCTATGGGGTCTCCTGGACTGCATGGTCTTGGTCAACTACTGTACATCGTCTTCGTCTCGTGCATACGTGTTCATATGTTTTCATGGACATTTCATGTGAATATTCGCTAATGTTCATTATTGTTTTTTTAACGTCAAGCTTGAGTCGATTCACAGCACATGGTATAATACTTTCAAGCTGGGAGGTCGGCGTGCTGTTTGGCCTTTGCTGGGCTTGGGCCTTCTGCTGATTTTGGCCTGCCGACCGGTTGCGTTCTTCAAGGACGTCAAAGCAAGTGCAGCCCGGCCTTCTGCGCCCACACTTTCTATACAACACTTTCGCTTGAAACATCTTGAAAACGGCAGAGGAAAGGGGAGCTAGTTAGCAAAACAATGCAAAGTGCTTCAGACGGCTGAGATCAGAAACCGTGAGTTCGAAACGGTTTGTCTCGACTCTCTCCTTTCCCTGCCTGCGCCAAAATCCTTCTCAAATTGCTTCTTCAACGCTTTGGCCCTTGAAAACCGTGTGTGATCAGTGAATTCATCTGCCAAAGAACTTTTTCAGGAGAAAACGACAAGAATGGAGCTGTTTCAAATTTCAAGGCAAAGAAATCATTGAAAAAATTAAAAAAAAATAAAAAAACAGACAAAATGTCACCGGGGACAAGAATCTCGACAACAGTCATTGCAGCCCAGGCAATCTCAACCTAGGGCACTGGCAGAGCATCCCAATTCTGCTCGTCGCTCATTTGCTGACTTCCTGGACCTGTCAATCGATTCTGCATTCAAAAATGTTCAAGATCTTAACAGTCTCAAAACAACAAAATGCAGGCATCATTTGCACACGTGTCACCTACAGTAGCCCTGCAACTGCTGCTTGCCCCACGAAAAACTCTTGTCTAAACCTCTGTATAGATTTAGCACCCAAGTTTGCCGATCCAATCTCCGAAAGGAAAGCTTCAATCTTTGCACGGGCCTGTACTACAGTAGTTGGTAAAGTCCAAGTACAAATGGTAGATGGGCAGAGTCGTCTCGCTCATTGCCTTAGTCCAAGTTCCAAGTTCGCGTGTTCTCACAAGAGGTCCAGTTGCAAGCCACTTGGAATGTACATTTGAAAGCATGCATTCAGAGGGTGCGTGATGCGTGTGAAATCGCAACAGCCGGAGAAAACAGCAGCGGATCCAGCAGTCTCTGCTGCCTCCTTTCTGCCCAACGCAAGGGTTATACTGGATGAGACAGTTTCCAACCATGCAAGTAGACTGTAGACTTCATCGTCGTAGACGTCGGCGCCAGCGTAATAGACATTGCGTTGTGTCTCGTGAGTCCAGTGTGTCAACTCAAATTTTAAAGAATGTTTATACATACATACATACATACATACATACATACATACATACATACATACATACATACATACATACATACATACATACATACATACATACATACATTACATACATTACATACATTACATACATTACATACATTACATACATTACATACATTACAAACATACATACATACATACATACATTACATACATTACATACATTACATACATTACATACATTACATACATTACATACATTACATACATTACATACATTACATACATTACTACATACATTACATACATTACATTCATTACATACATTACATACATTACATGCATTACA